AAATCGAATATACTTGAGCTTGTTTTACATAACTACCATGTATAGATGGAGGATTCTTGATTAAATAGTTGGATACGTCTAGTTGATTTCAATTGAGAATTGATTGATAGATCCAATTGCGCTGCTATCCGGATACATCTTTTGTAGGAGTAGTTAACTAGGCCAAATATAGTTACTTAAGACTACAATCGAAACAACACACCCCAAAAGAAAGAAAGAAAGACAGAAAAAACAAGGAATCAATTGCCAAAAATAAAAGCTGAAGGCCTCCCTCCCTCCCGAGGGGACTTCAACGCCCACAAGCCTGCACAGTACACACTGAATCATGAATAAAAATGGTGAATAATGAATACGAACCCTAGCCTACCTACCTACCTACAACAACAGTATCTTACTCGGCAAATGAAGTAGAAAATACTCCGTACTCCGAAGCCAAGCCAAAGCGTCAGGCCTACCTTACCTACACAAGACCCCAATCAAGATCAAGACCCCGAAAAGAAAAAACAAAAACCCAAGTAGTATGTACGAGCTACCCTGTAAAATAAAACCCCAACCCAAACAGTTGAAAAGAGAGCAGAGCAGGGGAAAAAAACAACTACCACCTCCTGAAACACGCCACTCCACGAGGGCCCTAGAAATTAGACCAGGAACACCCGAGTCCATCCAACCAACCATCCCAGTCCCAGTTCCCAGTTCAAATTGGTCTATAAATATTTTTGAATTTCCGGCCCGAGGGGGCCGAGGAGGGCACTTACCTGGTCGCCTAAGTATATTTAGCCAGTAGTACTTATTACTATTGGCTTTGTATTAAGGGTTGGGGTTCCTTGGTCTAGGGGGAGGGGAGGCTTGGTCTTTGTTCTTTGTGGTCTGATCATGATGTGTACGTACAGATAATCAACTAGACGAGATGAATAGTAATAACGGGAATTAGAAAAAAAAAATGAAAATGAAAATGAAATATGCAAAGAGAAACAAAAGGGGAAATAGTTGAAAATTAAGTTGTGACTGCACTACTGTTGAATTCAGGTTTAGTACGGAATATTAAAGTGAAATCAAGAGTGCCCCTGGGTACTGTTCCTAGAACCTATCAATTATTGTATCTACTCGATTCAGTCCACGGGTATTGTTAACAATGGTTATGCAGATGGCAAAATGTACAAGACAAAAGCATAAATCAAGGCAAAGTCTATTGGATGTAACCGAGCCCCTATTGAGTTTCTTTCTTCGTGGCAAATGAGTACCCAGGAGAGTAAGGAGATGGTAAATACACTCGTTAATAGACTATTATGTACAGTACATGCAATTCTCGTGGATTGGATTGAGATGGTTGCCGTTGTAACGAAAATCTGGTTTCGGTGCATTGCATCTGCAGGAGAGATAGGATGAGAAGGGCGATGGACAATCGAATTGATGTGCAGATGCAGAGGCAGGTTTGATGTTTTCAACGCTCGTTACGCCGACTCCCTTATCCAACTCTCTGACCAAATTTTCATGTTGTTTCCAAGAGTCAAAGAAATAAACCAAGGAAAAGCAATAAAAACAAATACAATTTAACCATGGAAATCCGTAATCAAGAAAGAAAGTATTTATTTCAAAGGTAGTAAAAGAAAAAGCCGGAAATAGGTATAAAGAAATGAAGATCCACAGAGAAAAAGAAGAAAGAAAACAAAGACGTTTACTCAAAGTCAATGTTGACGTGGAGACGGACACCGTCGTTGCCCTTGTAGTTACCACCAATGCCATCAACACCCTCCTCGGCAGCGGTGTAGGCGTTGATCACGTTCTTGGCCAGGTTGCTGATGCTGGAGCAGCCCTGGTCGGAGTGCTGGCAGATCTTCATACCCTGGACATCCTGGTTGGCGTTCTGGGCCTGGATGGCCGAGACGTCCCAGCCGGACCAGGTGTGGCCGTCGGGCAGGTCACGGCTGTTCTTGCTGTTACCGAAGTCGAATTCACCCCAGGTGCAGGAGTATCCGCCGTATTGGTCGGTGGGAAGCTTGGTGCCCTTGGCGGCACCCCAGCTACCCTGGGAGTCGCCGTCGAAGGCAATGTACTTGGTCTCACCGGCGTCGACGGACACGGTGAGGGCGGAGTTGCCGTACCATCCGTTGATGCCACCGTCGGGGCCGATCTTGTTCCAGAAGACCATGGTCCAGGGGTCCTTCTCGCTACCGTGCACAGCAATCACGTAGCGGTAGTTGCAGGCGTTGGACTCGGACACCTCCTTGATGTTGCTACCCCAGGGGGAGCCGACGTTGCCCTTGTACTGGACGTAGTCCTGGTCGTTGTCGATGGTGCTGTCGCCGAAGCCGTCGCGAGAGAAGTCACCGGATGGGTTGTCGTACCAGTTCTGGCAGCTTCCGCCAGCGGGAGCAGAGGAAGAGGAGGACGAGGCAGTTCCGCTGGGGGAGACGGACTGGCTGGCGGTGGGGACGGCATTGACGGTCACGACCTGGGTAGCACCGCCCTCGGCCTGGAAAGCCGGGGTGGCCTCGGGAGCAGCGGTGGTGGCGGCAGCGCCGCCGGACCACTCGTTGGTCCAGGAGACCATCTTGCCGTCCATCTCGACCTTGACGATGTCACCGACGTCACGCTTCTCAGCGGGGTGAGCATGGCGACGCTCGTGGCCGTGCAGACGAGCAGCGGCAGTGCCGGCGGACAGAGCCGAGAGAAGAAGAATCGAATCCTTGAGCTGCATTGTGGAGATTGAAGAGAGGATTGGGGATCGATAGTATCAGATAGAGAGTAATCACAAAAGGCGGGGGTATCACGCGGTGGATGGAAGAAAGATCAACAGAAATCAAAGACCCTCGGGAAACGCGAGAAACAAATCAAGCAATGAATGTCTTGTTGAATGAATGACTTGAGCAGTTGCTCCGCGATTGAAGGAGAGAAGTGCGAACCCTGAGGGGGAAGTGTAAGAGAAGGATAGAGAAGAAGAAAAGGAAGAGAGAGAGAGAGAGAGAGAGAGAAAGAGAGGGCAACCGGGGGGCAGGGCGTAATAATAATAAATCCCAAAACCCATAGTCACCGTGCGACTTGGGCGGACCGAATTTAATTAAATGAAAAGGGGGCCGATCAGGGGAAGTGCAGCTCGTTGGCCGCAGCGATTGGCGCGCGGAGAGAAACGGTTCCTGAGCTTACCGCTAGTGTGTCCTTTCCGGGCTGGGATTGGCCACCTCGAGAGTTTTGGCCCCGCTGCAGGCTGCGATCGAGACTTTCCAGACCCAACACTCCCGTGGTACCGTACGGTCAGAACGGTACCGTACCCGCCGAGTACCTGACCGTCATTGCAGAAGTTCCTCAGGGTTACTCCCTACTAACCGAAGGTAGGTACTCTTGCTGTTAACCGAGAGGGAATCATGTAAGGCACTCAAATTAACTACCGTGAGCATCGCGATGCTTCCGGTTGGGTTTTTAACGAGCATCAGCTGCGTTGGATCAATCAGAGTCGATCCATTCCGATTGTCGAGATTAGATGCATGACATGGAATGCTGCCCGATGCGAGGAATTGGACCCGAGATATCAGCCAGAGATTAAGATCCGACTGTCTAATACTCTACAGAGTATACTCATCCAGACTTCAGAGTTGTTCTGTGGATAGTTGATAATAGATAATAGATACGTCACTGCCAGCGTGGTGAACCGGTGATTCATCTAGACTCAGATCAGCCCGTCAGGCAATGCTGAATGCTCCGTCCGTTGAGCACACGGACAACCGGTGGCCACGTCAAGTCGACCCACGTGAACCGGGCACCGTCAAATCTGCGGACATCACTGCAAAATGCAAATTGATTGTGTCCTCCGTCATCCGGGAAGCAATTCAGCATGTTGAAACTTAAATCACACCGACTGACCGACAACTGCGAACTGCCAAGCGAGATCATTTCCTCGGGGCAAAAAACGTACCTGCAGTAGCCCTGCCGGTCCTCTGCTCCCGATACATACCAACTGTTGGTTTCGCCTGTACATATGTAGGTACTGTGTATGAACACTGGGCGTACCTGACGGTCCTTACCGCGTCGTTCAGGGAGCCCCTTTACTCTTCAGGTACGCTGCGGTCCCTGGAAATCCCCGATTCAGGGTCATCGGGGACGCCATTCTTAGCCCTTCGACGCGAGATGAAAATTCCAAGGCTCATTCTCTAGGAGACTAGGAGTACTTTGTAGGTAAGTTCTGTACTTTGGGACCCGTCGAGAGGTCCAGCCAGTCGGCCGTGGGTCTGGAACGAAAAACATTCAAGACTCGAGAGTAAAAAATACCCACTCTGGATCCCCTCTCCCTTTCTTTCCAGTTTCCATCTCCCCGTGCCCCCCGTCGAATCCACCCTCGCCACCGCAGAGACAGAAAACGTGAATCTTGATCACGGCGACGGCCGAGGGTTGCCCTCGGTAACCGACGCGGCGATAACCGGTCCAGAAGGAGGACCATCCATGCAGGAGTCGCTCTTCTGAACCGCCTACAGTACACTCTGCAGTAAGCATTCTGTAACCTTACGGCGTAGTAGACTCGCTAACCGCTGGTCCAAATAAATAAACATGCGATCCTTGGGGCGGCGAGCCACGGTTATGGCCCGGAACCACTCTTCTGCACACTAGGGTAACCTCCTGATTAATATTACGTCGTGTTTGAGTTGGCCTGAATTTGAGCCTTACTCAGTACTCAGTACTCTACGCTGTACACCTTCACATCGTGCCCTGCTACGAGCACTAGGGTGTAGAGAAATCTACGGATACTGAGAGGAAATCTCTCAGCCTAGACCGGACGGGCCGGGACTCGTAAGCTGCCTTGGTCGACTGGACGATCTGCTAAATTTATCCCCGTCGATCGGTGAATCACGTGCTAGGCTTCTGCTGAGTAACGTTCATGCCTCAGGTGTCTGATTCAATCCAATCACCTGACGGGCAGAGGACTCCTTTTCATGGAATCATCGCCATTGATCTACATGACATGCTGCGAACAAAATATGTACAATTGTGCGGTGTCTTAGCGCTAATCATCACTTCAGATCAACTCCTCCTTCAAACGCCCCTCCTCCGGCATCCGCATCCACTTGCACGCTCTCGTCTAGCCCGCACACCCGGAACAGCATCTGCGGCGTCATCTCCGGCTGCAACCCCGGGATCCCATCTCGCTTCAGCTTCAGCATGGCCTCGCGGATCGCCTCGCACGCCGGCCCCAGCGCCGCGAAGGGGAAGATGATCATCCGGAAGCCAATCTCCTTGGCCTCAGCCGCCGAGATGGACGGCGTCGCGCCGTGCTCGACCATATTCAAGAGCATCGGCCAAGGCGCCAGCTCTTGAACCGCCTGGCGCGCCATCTCCTTGGACGTGATGCCCTCGAGGAAGCCCACGTCTGCGCCCGCGTCGCGCGCCGCCCGCAGTCGCGCCATGCTTTCCTCGTACCCGTGCACCTGGAGGGCGTCGGTGCGCGCGATCACGACGATGTCGCTGCCCATGCGCTGACGCGCCTGCACGGCCGCTCGGATCCGCGTGACGTAGGTGTCTCGGTCGACGAGGATCTTGCCGCCCAGGTGGCCGCAGCGCTTCGTCTGCACTTGGTCCTCGATGTGGAAGGCGGCGACGCCCGAGCGCGAGTACTGCTCCGTCGTGCGCGCCACCATGATGGGGCCGCCGTAGCCCGTGTCGGCGTCGGCAATGACGGGAGTCTTGGGGGAGAGGTTCGAGAGCATCTCCGCGTTGGCGCGCATGTCGTTGAGCGTGCAGATGCCTAGGTCCGCTTGGCCGTGGACGGAAGCGGCTGTGCCGGCACCGGTCTGAGGGAGTGGGCATCGATCAGGGGAGTTCCAATGATACGAGGTTAGGTTGGACTTACCATGTAGAGAGCATCAAAGCCTACGGAGAGGGCAATTCGAGCGGACAGGCCGTCATACACTCCGGGGGCGACAATGCAAGATTTGGGGTCTACGAGGGTCTGTCGAAGACCGGTGGCGGCTGTGACAATAGGCATTGTGATGATAATCGATGATGCAGATTCTTCCTGTGCAAACAGCTTGAGCTTAAGGAAACCAGGATCAGGAAATCACTGGGATGTTCTGATGTTTGCCATCGTTTCTATATGGCCGATGGCAATGCCGATCCCGAAACCGGGGGACGCTTAGATAATCCCTCGGGGATAACTCGGGGAGGACATCGAAAGAAATCTGTAGAAGATAGTCGGAATAGAGAGATATAGGGCTGTCGAAAATGATAAAGATCAAATAATCAGAGCTCAATTGAATAGTCTATAGATCATCCTAGCCAATCGAGGTCCAAATAAGCCCAGCCCCGGACAAGCCAAACCCTGCAAACTGCAAAGCGGCCGCGACTCGGCATTTCCACTTCTTTGCCGCTTTCTTCGCCTCTTCACCTCCACTCCACCTCCAACTTCCTTCGTCCTTCGTCCTTCACCTTCCCACTCTCCACCCTTTCTCTCCCACGAAATCCTCTCAAGCATGATCTTCTAGTCGAAGTGAGATCTCCTATCTATAAATTCTTCCTTCTCACCTCATCCGTCCATAAGATGGCCCGCTCCGCCATCGTCCAAGAGTACGCCCCTCCGCCCGCCTCCTCCACCTTCAGTCTCGACCGCAAAGTCACCTCCGAACGGCAACACAATGGCATCGCCCGGCCCACGGGCTACCGCGTCTCCTGGCACGCCAATCCCGCCGTGGAGCTGCACCACTTCGGCCAGTCGCACCCCATGAAGCCGTGGCGGCTCACGCTCACCAAGCAGCTCGTCATGGCGTACGGCATGCACCACGCCATGGACCTCTACCTGGCGCGGTCCGCCTCGTACGAAGAGCTCGCCGACTTCCACAAGACCGACTACCTCGATTTCCTGCGCCAGGTGATGCCCGGCGACATGGAGAAGGCGGAGCAGAGCGAGAACGTGGCGCGGTTCAACTTCGGCGACGACTGCCCCATCTTCGACGGCCTGTACGACTACTGCTCGCTCTACGCCGGCGGCACCATCGACGCCGCGCGCAAGCTTTGCAACAACCAGTCCGAGATCGCGGTCAACTGGTCCGGCGGCCTGCACCACGCCAAGAAGGCCGAGGCCAGCGGCTTCTGCTACGTCAACGACATCGTCCTCGGCATCCTGCAGCTGCTTCGCCTGCACCCGCGCGTCATGTACATCGACATCGACGTGCACCACGGCGACGGCGTCGAGCAGGCCTTCTGGTCCACCGACCGCGTCCTCACCGTCTCCTTCCACAAGTACGACAAGGACAATTTCTTCCCCGGCACCGGCGCCCTCGACGCCACGGGGCCCACCCACCCCTTGAACCCGGGCGCGCACCACTCCGTCAACGTGCCCCTCCACGACGGCATCGACGACGACTCTTACATCCAGCTCTTCCGCGACGTCGTCGGCAACTGCGTCGACGTCTACCGCCCGGGTGCCATCGTGCTCCAATGCGGCGCCGACTCCCTCGGCTGCGACCGCCTGGGGTGCTTCAACCTGAACGTCGCCGCGCACGGCGCCTGCGTCGCCTACGTCAAGACCTTCAACCTCCCGCTCCTCGTCGTCGGCGGCGGCGGGTACACGCCGCGCAACGTCTCGCGCGCCTGGGCCCACGAAACCTCCATCCTCATCGACGCCCAGGACCAGATCGACCCGCACATCCCGGAGGACGTGTTCTTCCGGAACCACTTCGGGCCCGATTACTCGCTGTTTCCGCCGCTGTCGGAGATGCGCAAGCTCGAGAATAAGAACCCGCGGCCCTACCTGAACAACCTGCTGGAGTCGATCCGCGAGCAGCTGCGCTACATCGAGGGCGCGCCGAGCGTGCAGATGAGTTTCATCCCGCCCGACATTCTCGGGTTGAGGGAGGACACGGAACGCGAGATTGAGGAGGAGATCGCGTTGATGGATGAGGAGCGCGAGGAGCGGGAGGGCAAGTTTAGTCGTCGACAGGAGTTGGAGCGCGGGATGCCGACTCGAGGGGAGTTGTATACTTCTTCATAGTCGTTTTTGCTCCCCCCCCCTTCTCTCTCTCTCCCCCTTTTGTCTATTCTATTGGATTTGCTGGTGTTGTTCTACAACTCTTTTTCTTTCTTTTTTTTCTTTCTTTTTTTTTTCCATTTTCACCGTTCATAAAAGGAGTTGGTTGGCTGGTCGGCTGGCAGGTTGGTTGTTTGATTGGCGTTGATACGGAATCTCTTGGATATGTATGTACATAGGTAGCATCATTGTAAATACCCATTGTCTTATTGTTTCATTTATATACATCACCCTGTTTCTCGATCCAAGAGTAATAGACATTCTTCTATTGATCGCCACCGAAAGGTAAATACAATCAAAATAAATAAAATATACCGTATATATATATACTAAACCTGTCATGAATCCATATCAACCTTCCAAGTTAAACTACCTAAGTGCATTTCACTAGACAAACTAATCCACCCATCCTCACAAACCCAAACCCAGCAAGATATGAAGATGAAGAAAACATTATTGATATTTATAATTAATTCCCAAGAAGTAGACGAAGAAAAGAAGGATTCACCTATATCACCGACTCCCGGGTCTGATACTCCTTTCTTATGTTATGTGTTCAGGACCATGGATGAATAAGTTCAAAAGTCACGAATGGAAAGTCAATCGGGTATCCAGTACACTTCGCTGATGGGTATGGAGGTAGTAGTTTGTGCGTGCGCGCAAAGTGATCAAGTCAAAAAATGTGTGCGAAAGGCTCAGCCTAGGAAATTGTTGAAATGTTCGATGGAAAGAGGAGGGCTCTGCTGAGCCGCCCTGTAACATCCCAAAGATAAACGGTTGAAGGGTGGCAATAAAGAAAGGTTGGATGATCAGCCGAATCAGCCTGTCAGTCAATCAATCATTCAATCATGGAAATGGCAATGTTGGCTGGGTCTCTGTGCATAGGGAAGCTACGTTTCGATGACCGAGGGACCGGTGTCTCCCATTCCTGTTCTTTTTTGGGTTTCTTTTCTCTTTTCATCTGCCTTCCCTGCTCTGTCTCTCCTTTTTCTATTTTTGTAGTCTGAAGCTGATATGCCGTAGATGGTAGATATCACTGACAAGCTAGTCTTCACGGGACTGGCGCTCAGGGCTTGGGGTTGTCCGTGGCGTTCACGTACTCATCGAAATTCGCCGTGCGAGAATCTTTCCGCTCAACGGGTTCTTCTTCGTCCTTCACAGGAGGCTGGGGCTGGGTCTGTGGCTGGGTCGCTACCGGTTTGACCTCAGTCTCAGCCGACAGCGCTTCGTGCTCCTCCGTCTGCTTGTGAGGCGGGATGTGAAATTGGGAGGGTTCTGTCTGACCTGGGAGAATGGGCGCGATAGACAGGATCTGCTGGTGAGCACCTTCGGGGTTGTGTGGATCGCTAAAGATTGCTGTCAATGACCGCCCCGTGTGATAGTCGGGACACACAACTTACACTCGGGCATTGATGATCCAGTCCAGATCTTCTTCTCCCTCGTCCGCACCACCCGGTCCTCCTTGCACGCGATGGAACAGCTTTGGCACCCATTCCACGCCTTCTTCGGCCCGTTTGGCCGCCTCCTCTCGCTGACGATCCTCAATCTTCGTCTTCTCGTCGGTGGCTAGTTCATGGTTCATGGCGATGACCGCCTTGGCGGTGCTTTGCCATAGACGCTGCGACTCGCGTTCACCCTGCTCTTCGATCGGGCGGGCCAACGGAGGAGTATGTTTGGCATGACGGGCGTCGAACAGGAGCTCCTTTTGGTGCGTCTGTGATCGGTCAGCGTGGAGTTCGCCGGAAAGCCAGGAGAACAAATTACCTGAACGTCCTTGATATGCATCTCCCCATTCCATAGCCCCGAAAGCTCGTAGTATACCTCGCCCGTCTTCTCGTTCTTGATCGTTCCGCCGATGGCGTTATAGGTGCCGGAGAAGTAGCCCTTGGTCTTGAATTCCAGATCGGCCACCAGGTTGTTCTCCGGACATCTGACGTAACTGTGATCTCCGAGCTCATACTTCATCTTTCCGAACAAAATACCACGGGCGTACATATTCGGTTGTGTCAAGATACTAGGTTCGTCAGCCCCTCACTCCGACAGCTGGGCGTGGAGATCACGTACTATCGTTCGCCCTTTTCCTTGTCCTCCCCGCGGTTCAAGAACCGCAGGATCGCAATCCCCTCCATCATACTGGCGGCCGAGTTGCCGAGAAATTTGCTGCGGGGTTTGAGCGTTCCGTCGATCCGGATGTGGTGTTCGGGGGCCATGAAGAAATAGCTCGACTTGGGCGGATGGTGGGAGGTCTGCTCGGCGATGTAATATCCGCGGGTACCGTCGGGATAGTCCCAGTAACAGGTGAACGTCTCTCCGAGGACCGGATTCAACGGTTTCTTAACACCTCTGTAGGATAAGAAAGACATCAGCACGGCGGGGTCACTCTTCCGGTCCGGGTGTGACGTACGGGGGTTTGATGTGCCATCCGCTCAGGTAGAATTTGACCACGGAGACGAAACGTTCTAGGGGGTCGTCGATGGCGGACATGGGCAGGAGGGTTTCCGGATGAGCCATAAAGCTAGAGAGAGAGGTATATTAGTTGAAATCCGGCGATTTGGAACTCATGTCGGCGCTCACTTTGTGATCCGCTCCAGCATCGATCGCGGTTCCAGGATGAACGTAGGCAGCACCACCCGACTCAGGTCGGCGCCCGGTCGGAGCTGGGAGATAATATGCGAGAGAACTGTCCGATTAGCGATGATTTCTGATATAACTGTAAGATAGGAAATACATACCATTGCCCTGATCGGGTTCGACAACCTCGTCATCGCCGCTCACGGACCCGGTCTTGGGTTCGTCGAGCGAGGAGCGAGTACCTGCGTAATTGAAAAACGAGCCCCAGTCAGCGGACATGATGGGGCGGGCAATATATAAGAAAAAAGACGATGAGGGAGTGAAGAGAGTGGAGGGAGGGGAGTGGGCGATGGAGGGGAGAGGGGAATTCCAGGACAGGCAGCAGCGAGGAAGAGGGAGAAAAAGAGGAATGACGTGGGAGACGAAAAGAACAGATGAAGAGGGGCGCCTCTTTCTCTCCCCGTCTCCCCCGTCATTGGCCCGACACTCACTCGCTGGACTGGCCACCGACGACCTTCGTCGAATATGCGGCACCGCAATAGGAACATGCATTTTGCGCTGGGCAGGTCGGTTTCTTCTGGGTTTCGTGAGGAGAAAATCGACGGTCGCGTGGGGAGACAGACGATCGGTGTCTTAGCAGCAGTTGGGAATCAACAGGCCGGAAATCATCACCTGATAAACTACAAGCTCTTAAAGAAAACCAAAGCAGATCAACTGACAGGCAGACGTGATTCAAATCTTCTTTATTTATATCAAACCATACGAAGAATGAGAGCGAAATTGGATCATCCGGTGGATTCCCATACCCACCTATTTATATGTGGCAGTGGATTCTCCTGCCCGGCCTCACCTCTCTGGCTCTCACTTTTCAGCCTTTCGACGATGCCAACGGAAGATATTCATTCCCCTCACGTCGATCATCCCTTAGGCCTCCGTCCAGGGCCCCTCCACATCCCTCCTGCGTCTCGTCGCGGTCGATGGATTCTGGATGCGGCCCTCGACCGGTGACGGTATCCAACTGTTAAGCCTAAGGAGACGCTGAACGACTCCCAGTTCACCGATCGCTAAGCGGGAGGGGCAAAGCCGGCTTGGCGAGTGGGGAGACCGGCAGGGATGTTCGTGTCCATTGGAATTAATCTGCTGTCATCGGAATGGCCGGTGATATCATCCAGGAGTACCCGAGATGCCACTGCAGGCGCTAAGCAGCGTTTGTCTCTGATCTATCGTCGAAATCGGAATACGTCACCTGTTGGAATCGAAAGAACGCCAGAAAATCTGAAACATATCACTATGAGGTAAAAATAACGCCATAAACCCCTGCTCATTGGCCTGTACTCTAATTTAACCCGGGAATCTTGAACCGCAAAGAGACCGAAATACAACGAAAACAACAAATCACAGGTTACTCCGTCCCAGTCTCGCAATCAACGGCTCATCGCCCTGCGTGATCTCCCTCAGGAATGTTGGATCCGGCTTGTACAGCATGACGTGGAAGTGCTCAACCGCCATCACCGACTTTAACGATTTCCAGTTCTTGAACCAAACCACCTGCGATCGCTTAGCGGCGCCCTTTCTCTCACCACCCAGGGAGGAAGTATATACTGACCTTCTCTGACGGAACTCTCGATCGAAACGTCCTGTCCACGTAGTCGTCGATTTCGCGTCGCGCACGCGGCGTCAGATCGTCCGTGGCCGGGTCGTCCTCCAGCTCGAACTTCGTCCACACCACCAGATGCACAATGCCATCCTCGAGTCCGTACGGCCAGTCATTATATAAGATCTTGATGTCGTCTATGCGATCGGCGAACCGCCACAGTCAGCAATTACAGTCAACCACCCAGAACACGGGATACGATACGAACCATCGCGTTCGAACGGCCGCCCCTTCGGCTTCAGATCCTCAACTGCCCCTTCCCCCCATCGCAGCCGCTCCTTCATGATGAACCGCAAAATGGACCCATGCAAGGCGATGATGCGCTCCTTGAATTCCAGATATTTCCTCAAGTCACTCGGCACGCGCTGGAATAGATCGATGCGATTGGTCCCTACCGTCGGAGATCGATTAGCCATGACCTTGTCCTTGACACCCTACCCCCCTGAGAAATCTCCAGACAACTCCCTTCCGGCTTGACTTACGCACGATATCCTTCACCAGCTCCCATCCCTGTCGTTGATATTGCTCGTCAGGCGTCGACAGGATCTCGATGTTCTTCTGACTGGTGTTGCGGAGAAAGTCGGGACAGTGGGTGGGCCGGTCGGCGTGGGGGACGTTGACGTGCCAGTACGGAAGCGACCCGGCGGACGCGGTGGACAGCGTCGTGCTGACGTCGTTGTCTAGCGTTGTGACGGCCGGAGAGAGTTCCGTGGCGTTGGACATGGCCGGCGAGTCCGTAGTCGTAGTACGGAGTAGATAGGAGAAGCTGTAGTCAACGTAGGCCGGAAAGGGCGGAGTCAAAGAAGGTAGGGGGAAGGTCGTGTTATATAGCTACTCCGTAAATGGAGCCGAACAGAACAGTTAATAAAAGGGAGCCGATTGAACGAGTCGCATTCGCAGCCCAAACGGTCGGGGATGACGACCGACGACCAACGGGAGCTGCGATCGTCACCAGAGGGACCCGCTGCGCCAGTGACGATTCGAGCAGCGATTGACCTGCCTTCAGCCCGGAATGCAGGATGAAGGAAGGGGTTGGCTGTCGCATCGTTATTAGTTGATGAATAACTTATTGAAAGAGAAGAACCCTCCACCGGAAGTGAACATTCCACCGGAAGTGGAGAACTGCCATATTGGATTTGGAGTTTGGGGTTAGTATTGAATATGGACTATTGAAAGGAGAACAGTTGATATTGAATATTGAATACCATCGTAAACAATCCTTGATAAAATCGGATTATCCATGTCACCCTGCAGCAGGGCAAGCAATGTGGCGTAGGCTAATGCGTTAGCACCGTTATCTAGTGGGACGGTAGTATCAACCACCCTTTCTGAGGAATGAACAACTATACGAGGTCCGGAGTAAATAGTAACTCCACGAGACAATCTCTAATATTAATAGAATACACCCCCAGGAATACGAACAAGCTACCAGAAACAAACTAAGATAGCTAGGTAGTTACCCTTCTCTATAGGTACTCAACGCGTCAAAAACGACACCTCCGGCCCATCAGACCTCACAATCAACACACCCGCCTTCTTCAACTCCCTCCGCGCCTCGTCCCAGCCCTCCCCAGGATCCACACACCTCGTCGCATCCTCCACCAAATAACTCCGAAACCCCGCCTTCGCCGCATCGATCGCCGTATTCTTGACACAGAAGTCCCCTGCCACGCCCACCGTAAACACGCGCGTGACGCCCCTCTCCGTCAAATACGCCGCCAGGTCCGCGTCCGCCGACGGCCCATTCACCCCGGGGTCGACGTTGCCGAAGGCGTCCGCGAACGCGGAGTACATTTCCACGGTGCTGAGCAGGCCCTTGCGCACGTATAGGTCGATCTTGGAGGCGTTGAGTTCCGGGATGAGCTCGGCGCCTTTGGTGCCTTGGATGCAGTGCGCGGGCCACAGTTTCTGGGGCTTCGTTTCGTGTTCTTTGCCCGGGGCGGGATTGCTCATGGCGATGGCGCCGGTGGCGGCCGTGGCTGGGGGGTGGTTGCTGGCGAAGGAGATGTGGTTTGAGGGGTGGTAGTCGAGGGAGGCGACGCGGGTGGTGAAGCCGGGGTGCGCGAGGAGGGAGTTGATGATGGGGTGGAGGGCGCGCGCGCCGTTGACGGCGAGGGATCCGTTCTGTGGTGGTCAGCACTAATGGCGTGTTTATTGTAGGTGGTGTGTACATACCGGCGGACAGAAGTCCTCTTGCATGTCCACTACCAGCAATGCCGCTTTCATCTTGAGGTTCTTTTGTCTTTGTATAGGTTCAAAGAATGTGGTCAAGAGTTGCGGTCTTTGTCGAGGTCTTTGTGAGGAGCGTAGACTTCGAAAGGGAATGGAATTGAGAGAGAGAGAGAATCCTCCTTCGGACCGGTCGATCTTTTATGGCCAGGGTTGCCGTCGAGGATGATGGATGGGGTGGGATGCAGGGAGCGACATCATCGTCTTATCCTCGTGACTTGACTAGCGGATGCGGTGCACGAAGCCACGTCATGATCAAGACCAATTAGGGGGGGAGGATCAGAGATCCTAGAAATGAGCAGCGAGACAGCAGACCAAAGGGAGAGCCGTGATGCAGCACGAGCAGAGGAACTACAGAACTAGTCCATCTCACAGTCGACTATCGACAGTCTAGTCTCGCCTGAGGGTCGCGCCAAGCCGTGCTGAGTCAGCCGACGAACAAAAAGGGCGGCAACCCAAAGAAATGCCAATCCTTTCTCTTTCTTCTTCTTCTTCGGCTTCTTCTTCTCGACAACTCTCGCCGGGCTACGGCCCTCTTCTTTTTTTTCTCCCCTCTTCAACCCTTTAGTAGTTTCTGTGCGGTCGCAGATAATGCGAGGCTCGTTCAAGGTAAGCTTCTCTCCTGATTTCCCACCTGTCGTACTGCATCGTCTGTCTGTCTACCCTGCAATCTTAATGATGATTTCTTAATATTGGAGCTGTCCGAGCTACATCATGCGGATAAACTTATTATATACGCTTTTCATCTTTCTGAATCCTTTTTGCAATGACCTTTTTGTTACCATCCCGTCAGATTATACGTGCAAGTCATGCTAATCTGCCAGTCAGTCATCACAGGGACCTAGTAGTGATCAGAGCTTCAAGCCTCCTTGATTTTTTTATCTCTTTAAAAATTAAATAACTTCTTTTTCTAAAACCAAACCAAACAAACAAACAAACAAACAACCCATTCACTGTTTAATCTCTCCTATAAACAAAACTATGGCCTATGATCCCAGACTGTCCAGTGCGGGCACTGCGACCCCCGAACCCCCTCCTCCTCCCCCTCCCCCTCCAGAGCCCGCCGCCTCGACCAACACACCCACCATGACGACCGGCGAGGAACAGAGGAAGACGGGGGAGCAGGAGCAGGAGCAGGAGGCGGCGTCAGCAGCACCAGCAACATCAACATCAACACCCGAGAAGGTCACGACATCGGCATCCGAATCCGACCCCGAATCCCACAAACTCCGCTTCTGCACCGTCTGCGCCTCCAACCAGAACCGGTCCATGGAAGCACACCTCCGCCTTTCAACCGCCTCCTCCCCCTTCCCGGTGATCTCATTCGGAACCGGCTCGCTCGTCCGCCTCCCCGGACCGTCCATCACGCAACCAAACGTCTACAGCTTCAACTCGACCTCCTACGCGCAGATGTACGACGAACTCCTCGGCAAAGACGAGCGCCTCTACCGCAACAACGGCCTCCTGAACATGCTGGAACGCAACCGGAACTTGAAATGGGGCCCCGAGCGCTTCCAGGACTGGGTGCCGGGTCTGCCGCGCGTCGATCACATCGCTAAGGGCGATCGCGGCGCCGTGGGGACTGAGGGTGGCGTCGTCGACGTGATCATTACCTGTGAGGAACGATGCTGGGATGCTGTTGTCGACGATCTTATGAATAAGGGCTCTTCGCTGAATCGCCCCGTGCATGTCTTCAATGTCGATATTAAGGATAATCATGAGGAGGCGCTGGTGGGGGGTAAGGCGATCTTGGAGCTGGCGAATCGGTTGAATGAAGCTGCTGCGCAGGAGCGTCGCGCGAATGGCGCCGAGGGCTGGGAGAATGGGACTGGTGACGCGAGGAGGAGCTTCGATGAGAAGGTTCCGGATATTTTGGCTGCGTGGCAGGAGAAGTGGCCGAATTTGCCGGCGTTGTGGACGTTGGCCTGGTTGTAGACTATGGATGTCTGTTTAAGTCATGGTTCCCAGGGCGTGTGTGTGTATTTTTTGGGTTTGAAATGAGCGACGAGCAATTCTTATCTTCTTAGGGATTATAGAGACAACGGAAATAATATCTTATAATTGATGTAACCTTTTATCCAATGAACTCGCTATATAAATCAATAAATCATAAACACTGGGGGTATCAATCGAACTACTCCAAAAGACATAAATCAAGCAAGCCCTTCACACCAAAAAGAACCAACCTAGCCCCCATCCTTCAGAACAACCTCCCTCCTCTCCCGATACCACTTCTCCAAACAAGCCCTCCTCTGAGCCTGCGTCATACCCTCCACCACGAGCGCAAACTCCGTCGCATCCGAAAACCCAAACCGTCGCGCCATGCTACAGAACTGCCGCTTCATGACATCGGCGGGCGGCCGGTGTCGGAATCGAATAGCCTTCCCCGACGATCCTTCTAGAAGACCTCCAACAGAAGAGTCCTGCGAAGGTCCTGCCGTTGCGAAGACGTGTTGGTCGCCGGTTTGGGTGCTGTTGGCGGAGCCGAGTTGCTGGGCGCGTCGACTGAGTCGTTCTTCGACTTTTGAGGAGCCGATGACTTCGTTGTTCAGGTGGGTGTATTCGACCCCGGCGCCGGTGAGGATGGCTTGGATGGGGTCGTGTTTTTTGCGATGGAGTTGGGAGGACGAAGGGACCATGGGGTCAGTGGTGCTAGGGTCTTCGGGTTTAGTGTCGCCCCGGATCATGGCGGCGAGATGGGTCATGACTTCGTCGTCGTTTTTGGTCTTCTTGATCTCGGACCAGTCGTCTGGATGGTTGCTGTCATCGTCCATGTCATCGATGTCGATGTCCATGACTTGGACGCCGGCTCGGCTTTCAGCGACGTTGGTCTTGTTGACGATGTCGCGGAGGACGACGTTGTTGTTCTGGTATTCGAAGAGGTTGTGTAGGCCGAAGATCTCGCCCTTCTGGTCCTTTTTCTCTTGCACACCTTTGAAGTATCGGCGTTCCGAGCTGGCGTTGTAGCCGATGTTCGCCTGCTGCTGCTTGTAGATCTGGCGGGCGTACACGATCTCTTCGATGGTGCCGGCGGAGATGAGTCGGAAGACTTCTACGTCTCGGGACTGGCCGATGCGGTATGCTCGGTCTTGCGCCTGGAGATCATGCGAGGGGTTCCAGTTGGGATCGACGACGACGACCTTGTTGGCCGAGGTGATGTTTAGACCGACGCCGCCGGAGCGCGTGGAGATGAGGAATACGAACTGTCGTGGGTCCGAGTTGAACTCGTCCACGGCTGTGGCCCGTTCCTCGTAGCTCATCGAGCCGTCCAAGTAGCTCACGTTGTAGCTGGTGTAATGGAAAAGCATCTGCAGCATCTTCAGCAGTCGGACGCTGTGGGAGAAGACCAGGACCTTGTCTCCGTTCTCGTGCCACCATTTGAGTAAACGGCGCAGCACCTTCCATTTACCGCAGAATTCCGAGTTGGCATAGTTGACGATCGAGTCTCGCGTGCGGTACAGCTGCTCCCACTGATCCGGCACCGCGATCTCCAGCATGTCTTTATCTTTCTCTTGCTTTTCGTTTGAGTCCACGCCCTGCGGAATCAGAATGGCCAGGTGATTGCTCAGTTTCTGCAAGATGGCGATCGCAGGAAAAACGTAACTCTGCCAGCGGACCCCGGAAGACAGATACTCTCGACAGCACCAGCCCGCCTTCTTGCCCGACTTGCAGTCACACAACTCCGAGGCATTCTTGATGTACTGGACAATGTCGCTGTCCAGGAGGTTCTCGTAGGCGTCCGCCTGCGTGTCGGTCAACGGACAGAAGACCACTCGATCAACCTTCTTCGGAAGCTGGTCTGCAATCAGCGTCTTCATCCGCCGGAGAAAGAACTGAGGCAGCAGATTCTCCACCAGCTTCTTTGCGGTCTTCCGGGCCCTGCTGAGCTGGTGGAGCGTGGCGTCATGAGACTGTCCGATCCGTAGAGGCTCCGAGACCGTTTTCTTCCAAGCAGTCACCGGGCCTAGTTTTCCGGGATTCGTCCAATTGAGCAACGTCCAAAGCTCCTCGTACTTGTTTTGAATGGCCGTGCCGGTAAGTCCGATCCGACAGAGGGAATTGACAACATTCATCGCTTTCGTGGTCTCCGAGCTCCGCTCTTTAATAGTGTGGCACTCGTCCGCGATCACGCAGTCCCAGTCAACCATGTTCACGGCGTCTTTGTTGTGAAGATAAGTGCCGTACGTCGTAATCAGGACCTCGATGCGTCCAGACCTCGCCGCATGCAGGGCCAGTTCCTTGTTTTCGCCATGATACGCATCGAAGTGCCACCAGCCCCAGCGCTCGAACTCCGCCATCCAGTTCCTGATCAAGGTACCGGGGCACACAATCAGCGTTCGGGGATACCATACCTCCTGACCGCTCCGTCTGAGCTTCCGCATGCGCTTCGCGTCCCGTTCGTCGCCCGTCTTGCCATACGCCGCGGTCAGGAACGCAATCACCTGCACAGTCTTGCCTAGACCCATGTCATCACCCAGGATCCCGCCCTTCTGGTAGACAAACAGCTCATGTAGAAACGCCGCGCCGTCCACCTGATACTGCCGCAGCCACTGCGCAATCGGCGCGGGAATCAGCCCCAGGGAATGCGGCAACGTAATATCCTTATACGGACTGCAGGGCTTCAAGTCCTTAAACGCCGGCTTCTCCTTCAAAAACTCCAGCCGCTCGTCGTCGGAGAATTCCACCTCGTCGTAGTCCGGCGGCAGCTTCAGCCCCGACTGTTTAAGATGCTCTGTTCGGCGTTCGAACTTCTCACGCCGTTTCTGCAGGTAGTCAGGCAGCGTGTATTCCATCAGGTCATCGTCAGATGCAAACTCCTCGCCGTATTCCCTCCAGGGCCGGGTCGGTCGCGTCTTTGCGTCTTGTCGGGGCCGTCGCCCAACAAATGAATTGGGGTCGGCCATGCGGGGGGTTTTGCCTTTGCGCGCGCTCGCAGAGCTGCGCTTGCGCTTGAGCGATTTGCGGTTCTTGAACTCGTTGTAGGCGGCTTCGCCATCGTTGAAGGTGTCGTTGCTAGAGCTGGGCGGGTCCAGGTCCACTATTGGGGTTTGAGGTTTCTTTTCGGGGAGGGAGGAGGATTGTTTGGTTGGGGTTGAGGTTTCTCTCGATAAAGGCGTTGCTGCTTGCTCTGGTAAGGATGGACGACTGGTATCTAAACGCGTAGACGTGAGTTATCAACCTTGTAGTGAGTGCGGAGAAAGAGAAGCATACTTCTAGCAAGTAGGAGTCTAGTCGGAGGCGCAGCGTCGAGGTCGTCATCGTCGGAATCGACCGTCGTCGCGTCCGTATCTTCGAGCTCCCATCCCGAGCCCATGGTAACTGGGCTTTACCGGAACTCGTGGTTGTCGTGGATGACAAGGAAGTGAGCAAAGATGCGGAGGCGGGATGAAGTAAGGCAGCAACTTGCCCCAACGGGAAAAGAGCTGCAAAATGATTTTGTCGCCGCAACGCCGACTTTGTCTCTTCACCTCCGCTGCCCTCCTGTCTTCCACCCACCTCAATCTCCGACCAGCCTTATATCTCATCTGATCGGAATTGAATATTCCGTTTACTTTATAGCCAGCAATATCTTCAATTCGCCACTACTCCCCCCGCCAGAATCTTCATTGAAAACTCACCGCGCCCGTGCGGGGACTCTCGATTCGACTATTTCCTCTACCTCTACCAATTAATCGAATAAAACAAACTCTACGACAAAATGCCTCTCGATACATCTACAACATACCCCCTGACCAAACTGCGTCTTGATGGCCGTCGCTGGAACGAACTCCGTCTCCTGCAGGCGCAAATCTCCACGAACCCCGCCAGCTCTGGATCCTCGTACCTAGCCATGGGCAACACGGCAATCATGTGCTCAGTTCACGGTCCCGCGGAGGGTCGTCGCGGCGATGCCACCGGCGGCGCTGCCGGGTCCTCGGGGGCAGTTGTCGAGGTGGACGTCAACGTGGCCGGGTTCGCGGGGGTGGATCGCAAGAGAAGGGCGGGAGGAAGTGATAAGTACGTGCAGCTCGACCCCTTGATGGGAGGGGAATGAAGGGGAGAAGACTTAGATTTACTAACGAGGATGAAACTAGGCAATCGTCGCGCATCGCTACTACGCTCCGATCGGCCTTCCAGTCTCATCTTCATACCTACCTGTACCCGCACAGCACAATCAGCATCCACGTCTCGGTCCTGTCCGCCGACGGATCGCTCCTGGCGGCGGCGATCAACGCCTGCACGCTGGCTCTGGTGGACGCGGGTGTCCCGATGCCGGGTCTGCTTTGTGGCTGCACGGCCGGGATGAGCGGGAGTGCGTCCACGCCGCGAGACCCGCGGAACGACACCCTCGACCCGCTGCTGGATCTGTCGCTGCCCGAGGAGCAGGAGCTGCCGTTCCTGACGGTGGGGACTACGACGTCCGTGCCGGTGGGAGAGCATGCGATGGACGACGACGAGGATATGAAAGTGACGATGCTGAACATGGACTCGAAGGTGCATTGCACGTACGTGGAGACGATGCTGGCCGTGGGCATTGACGGGTGTAAGCAGATCCGGGAGATTCTGGAGGGGGTGATCAAGGGGTCGAATCGGCTATAGCTAGGTTTCTTTTCTGTCTGTTTTGGCTGTTGGTCATCAAAAGCATGTTTATGTATACCCAGAGAGTGCAATTCACGGTGTTGGTCTCACTTTTCTACTAGGCTGTACCGTACCTGATCACCTGACGAACATCCCCACCTGACGAACGTTTTTCAACTCAGCGCCCACGTAGGAATTGAAGCCGTACAGCCACATATGTTTCGAATTATATAGAACTTTTTGAGCAGAGCAAAATATATATAAAACTGAAGCTACATACTTTTTTTTTAATCGCGAAAGCGCTGTGGGAGCCTAAACTGCCTACCTTTGCGATTAAGCGTTGGAGGGACCTCATCAACGACCTCAGGCTCTACAGCAGCCCTACCACCCGATTCCTTTGGCTTTGGAGTCGCCGGAGCCTTATTCTTACCTTTCAGAGCGATATTGAAGTCATTTTGAATCTGTATATCAGCTTACTTAGCGAGCTGATTATCCTGCTTTTTCCGCTTCTTTTCTTCTGCCTCACGGAGCCTCATTTCTCGATTGGAAGCGCGAATTCGCTTGCGTGCTTCGACTAAAAGCTTTCTTCCCTCTTTCTCCCGCTGCTTACGAAGCCTTTCCTCTTCTTTTGAAGCTTTAGCGAGCTGTATAGCTTCATCTTTCTCTGCTTGAAGATCACGGGCTTGAAGATGTGTGGTGCATTTTTTGGACTATTCCAGCTTCGAGTGACAAAATTATTGGAAGGATGTTGGAAGGAAAAATGCTCTTGAAATGGCCCCAAGGAATAACCCATAGTCTTAACTCCGCTGATTGCGGGGATTTTACGCATTTATGCTTAGCATGGGTCCTTAACTTCCGGGATTTCCGCGTTGATTTTTTTTCTGTCCATGATCGAGGTGTAATAAATGAAACTTATACCGTCGGGCTTTTTCAAACCTCTTAACGTAAACAGAAGAAGTAAACTTTATGATTGAAAGACAAAAATTAGAAAATTCGGTGGAAGCGGGAATATATTCCATAATATTGATGTCTTAGTGAGGAGGGCTCGATAAAACCAGTTCTATTTGCGGTGATTGCTTCTCCGATGTCCCCTCTAGAGGGAAGACATACAAAACCAAACTATCCTAAATCCACCACGTGAAGGCATGGAACTGTCGAATTTTGATTGTCAGAATCAGCATTTAATCCTTGCTAAGAGGCTAGCGAAGGGGGGAAATGCAAGTATTCGTGAAATAGTCCCTTATAAAGACACACAATAACACATTCGTCTAATTCTCTTCCAGAGAATACTCTACTACGAGAGTCGAGACGACCTCATGAGAATACCAAAACCACCAAGAAGTGCGGAGATCCCAGTGAAAGCGATCAAGGGACCGTAACCGGACCCGTATGCCTTCGCAGCTACGCCTTTCCAGGCATTGTTCTTAAGCAAAGCTTCACTAAGCGGACCGCTGATGACGTTACCAATGCCCCGACCAGTGGACAAGAACCCAAATATGATGCTTGGATCAGCGTAGACACTCTTCCTTCGGACTTCGTTGACGATGGCTGGCCACGTGGAAGTAAATGACCCTGCAAAGAGACCGTAGAAGATACAGAAGATGTAGAGAGGCGCCATAGAGTCGGCGAATCCCCATATTAAGAATACCGCAATGGTGCTTCCGACAGTGGAGGCGAGGATGCAGGTGGTAGCATGGAAACGATCTACCATGGAACCCATGATAACGCAGCCAAACACAGAAGCAAGATTGAACAGTATGACCGTCAAGGCAGCTTGAATGTTACCTGCCCCCAAGCTGCGAGCATAGGTCGGAAGATAGATAGTTGGGAGAAAGTACCCTATGGCTTCAAGGATGTTTCCAGTCTCGTAGACCACGAAGGTCAAGTTCCACAAGAAACGGAAATCCAATGGTCGAGAACGAGAGGTCTGGGAAATAGGGAGTCGAGGTCGAACAAAGTAGAGAAACGGGCCACCCATCACGAGAAGAGTAATGGACCAAGCTCGGAGAGCTGTTTGATGGCCGAAGCTGTCCAATAGCCACTGCAGCACGAGTGGAAGAATGACACCGGATAATCCAGTTCCAGCCTAGAGAGCACATTAACATTAATATGATTGGGAGGAAGTAGGAGAATGGGTACTTGTACGTACCCACATAACACCGAAGGCAAGACCCCTCCTTTGCACAAACCAGTCATCCATGAAGACAATAGTAGGCGCATAGGCCAGGCTTGCACCGATTCCATACGCCACGCCCTGAGAAGCAATGAGATGTGTCGTATTGCTGGCGAAGGAGCTCAGCGCCAGGGCGAGACACATGATAAGGAAACCCAGTGGGGCAGCCCACAGCTTAAGACGGGGAACTGCCTGAAGCAAAATAGAGGTGACGGGCATGAGCATGTAGGAAATACCCTTGCAAACCCATTAACTAAATGCGCGCATATATCGTTTGTAGAAATCTCACCATTGCGCAAGTGCCGACCATGGCAATGTTACCGGAGCTCTTGAAGGGCTCATGGGTGCTGTAGTAATCCTGGAAAATTCCATAAGAGAACGTGAATCCTAAATGAATCTAGTTAGCCAGGGGGCTCGAGTCATGGCGAATGATGCACTTACCCCAGATCAAAGCTTCTATCATGAAGCATGCCGTAAGGAAACCCCATGCGCCGCGCCCTCTGTCGACTGGCGGCAAGTTGTCTTCGTGCAGCTCGACATTGCTGTCCTGCAAGGAAACTTCAATTTGTTCCATGTAGACAAAGTTATTATCCAGCGTATTAGAGCCAGGAAACCACGAGAACGGCGAAAGAGGATGGCGGGGCAAATGTGGAGTCGCTCTTGATGAGATGTAGGAAGCCAGGAACAACATTAGTCCGTCCGAGGCTCATATTTTGCAGAGGCCACAATCCTCTTCAAACACTCAAGCACTCGAGTATCTCTGTACTCTAGGCTACGTTTTAGATAGAGTATTACTTCATTCATTTGCATTCTCCTTATGGCTTAGGCCTCGTACAGCTTGGACCGATCGAACTCCACTATTCCTCTGAGCTTAACCACTTCAGCTCTACTAAGGTACGGGACATTGTCATGGTGTCAGGGATGACAGGTCCTAACTGTAGGCGGTTTCATGGGAGCATGAAGGCTCACTAGCTCATAACGAGGCTAATCGAAACCGGGTAGAAAGGCTGCTACGTTGGGTATACTTCCATGCAGACGCAGTAGGACCCCAGCTCCAAAGTCAGGCCATATGAATCAAAGCTCAATGCCAAGATGTTTCACATATCGAGAACAATAGATAATAATCTGAGCAATTATTAACTAACCTCCCGGTATAAGTGTAAGCCCATAAAATCGATCGGCAGCTCGACCATCAGAAACAAGAAACAACTGAACCCCCCTAACTTATCACCCTCCACCCTGAATATTCTCAATAACAATCAACAATCGAATCAGACGAACCAACTTACAAATGACAACTCAATCGAAGTCCCTAGGGATCACCAACCCAACCAAGCTCAACAAGGAAAAGCCCAAACCCGAAATGTGCTCAATTCCGCTCGCCAGAACCGCCAGCCATTGGCCAATGCATCTCCATCGTCTTACTCGGCGGAGTCTCTCGTCCCTAGTCTATTACGGAGTATGTTTGAGGAGGTCATTGCTAAGTAGGTAATTAGTAGGTAATGAGCTGCTGGAGGCGCGTAAAGAGATGCTCATTTCTCTTGGCTTCGCTTCCCTGCAGAACCTACCAGTTTAGTTCCTAGGCGTGAGGCCATTCGAGCAGAATTCCAATGACACATGATATTTCAGAGTGAGCAGGTTATATACTAGGTACTTATCTGATCAGGGTTCCTTGATTTTCTTTGTTCGTTTAATCTTCTTCTTCTTTATCAGAACTGCTCATGTGCTTTCTATGTATGGCATGACATTCATCTGATGATTCGGCCTGATTCGATATCTTCGGTGATTTAACTCGAATAATCCTCTCTATACCTCAATGCAAGAATCCCTCAATACCAGACCCCAAACCGACGCCAAAACTGATATCGCATCAAAATGAATCACATGGACCACACCATGGGTATGACCATGAGCATGAGCTCGACAGGAACCGCCACAGCCCCTATGAGCACAGGAACCTCAATGGATATGGACATGGACATGGGCGGAATGTCTCATGATATGGGAGGGAGTTGTCAGATATCCGTAAGTTTGCCTCCTATACACATTGATGTGTACATTCCTATCAAATGGATATCGAGATGGAGATGTAACATGATTAGTATGAGGAGTTGAAACAAACCCACTAACGAAATCATCCAAATTAAAACAGATGCTCTGGAACTGGAATACTATTGACGCTTGTACGTTTCTCCTTTGGCCTCTACCTTCCTACAACACTGCCTAGTACATACATCATCCATCCATTCATCACCCCCCTATCCAATGAACCAAACCACCAACTAATGACCAAATTAAATAGGCTTCCTCTCCTCCTCCTGGCAAATAACCTCCAAGGGCATGTTCGCTGGTTCCTGCATCGGCGTGATCGTCCTCGTCATGAGCCTTGAATTCCTCCGTCGTGTAGGCCGCGAATACGACGCATTCATAATCCGACGAGCGAGACTGAGAAATCAATATCTTGACCCCGTCAACACTACTTCTGCTGTTAGCAGTGCTAGCGGTAAAGGCCCAGGTGTAGGTATAGACACACGGGGAGAGACAGGGGAAGGATCATGCTGTGCGCCAGACACAAACACCACCGCAGCAACCACTCCCAAGAACTCATACACAAGTCAACCATGTCAAGAAACCGGATTCCGCCCCTCCCCAATCGAACAAACCATCCGCGCCCTCCTCCACATGGTGCAGTTCGCTGTGGCCTACTTCGTGATGCTTCTGGCGATGTATTTCAATGGATACATCATCATCTGTATTTTCATCGGAGCGTTTCTGGGCGCGATGGTGTTTTCGTGGGAGGTTATTGGTGGGAGTAATAATAGGTTTGAGTATGTCTCCCCTTCATCCTTTATATGGGCTTTTTTGTCTGGGTACGGTTTGGGATCTAGGTTACGTTGAGGTAACTTATCTTGAGCTGGACTGGACTTGGGTTTTGGGATGGGCTTGTTGATCAGGACTGGGCTGACTGATTGAATACAGGAATGATGCGACGGCGGTTACGAAGTGTTGTGGGTGATTCTACCTACTCTACTGGGTAGGTATTGTGTTGGTTATCTGGATAGGAATGGGCTTGTCAAGGATTAGGTTAGGTTTTCGTGTACATCGACCTGATATACTTAAACAGATGAGAATACTTTCACGTTACCGTGAAATCATCGAGTAACTACTCCGGTCACTCCTACAAAACTACTACTACGGTCTACTACGTAACTTCACAACCTCGGATGACCCACAAGCGGGGTAACACAGAGTTATACGACATCTTCCACTCCCCAATTACAAAGAATCCAGTTACAACGTCAAAGTTCGTTTGATCAGGTAGACACTCTAGATTACACCACACGCGAGAGAAGAATTGAAACACGAGAAGACCACCGTCACCTCATCCCAACCAGCCCGACCCTCCTCTTTTCAAAAGAGCAGCAGCGCCAGCCAAGGGACGAGGTCCGTCCAGGGCACACATATTTTCCACTTTATCGAACATGGGGTGATTTTTGTGTGTTTTTTTCCGGTTTCAAAAAACTTACAACTCACCAGCGTCGACGATGGTGGGCTTGACGTTGGAGCGCACGGCACCGGTGTTGCTGCCGAGAGCCTCGATCTCCTTGACGATGCGGAAGGACTCCTCGTCGGCGACCTCACCGAAGACAACGTGCTTGCCGTCGAGCCAAGAGGTCACAACGGTGGTGATGAAGAACTGGGAGCCGTTGCTGCAGGGGATTGGTTAATCTGGGATCGATCTCTCATGTGCTCTCTGGAGATGACTTACGTGTTGGGACCAGCGTTGGCCATGGAGAGGATACCGGGCTTGGTGTGCTTGAAGATGAAGTTCTCATCGGCGAACTTCTCACCGTAGATGGAGCGACCACCGGTACCCTGTTAGGTGTTAGCGACCTGCAGAACAGAAAATGAAAAGTGAAAAACTTACGTTGCCGCGGGTGAAGTCACCACCCTGAAGCATGAAGTTGGGGATGATACGGTGGAAGCTGGAGCCCTTGTAACCCTGGCCCTGAGGAGCCTTGCAGAGCTCACGGAAGTTCTTCGCGGTCTTGGGGACGTCCTTCTCGTAGAGGTTGAAGACGACGCGGGACGTCTGGGCTAGAGAGCGGAAGCCATTGTCAGTAAGAGTTGAGAGAAGACTAGATTGAGGAATGGTTCTCATCCCAAGAATTGATGGTCATCTTTGGAGGGGTTCCCTCAGCCTCCAAGAATTACCCCTCCTCCCAGCCATCAAAACTCGAGACGGGAAAAAAAGGTCAGAAGGGGACTACATACGAGCAGAGCTGCCCACAGGGGCGTACTGAATGTCGAAGTAGGCCTTGGTGTTTCCAGACATGGCTGCGGAGGTTTGATGGAATGAACGAAGAGAGAGGAAAGAAGGATTGTAATTGAGGGAGGAGAAGAGGGGACGAGAAGAGAAGGACGAGCAAAGTGGGGTTGTTGTTGACCTCAGGCTTCGGGAGAACATTGTTGCTGGAGGGGCAAGCGGCGGGACAACTCGGCGGCCGGGTCACGGGGTCTGCTGGGCCGGTTAGTTCCTTACGGATCAGGCTATCCAGGTAGGGTAGCTCGCGGGGGAGAGGATGAGGGTATTACGTCAGCCACCGGGCATGGGGGCCTGAGGCCGCCACCTGGTTGGTTGGCGCATCACCGACAAAGCAGAGCAGGGCAAAAAAAGGGGGGCCGGTGGAAGAACGTGGAATTCGGACGGCCATTGACTGGTTTTCCCCGCAGGCCGCGGAGGGGAACATGGCCGTCTCCTCGAATTGCGTGATGCAGCCAGGATTCGGGTTTCTCACTTACTGGTAGACGTTTGGCTGGGAGGAAATTTCTGGAAGCCGGAGATGCTGCGAGACTTTGCGGTTGAGGCCGGAAAAGCAGTCAATTTAAGACCGACCAGAGCTCCCGAATGGGTTTAGCCTGCAGAGCTTGGATTATATAATACACTGTAACTAGTTGGCTAGTAGGCTAGTATCTTCCAGTCTAGAAAGATATAGAACGGTAGAACGGTGGAAATGGCAGGAAACCGAAATTATACAACTTGTTGAAATTAAGGCAAGCTGTCCTGACGGAATGGAATGGAATGCAGCTCCTGCAGTTCACGTGACGCCCGCCTCGATCTAGAATGTGGCGACAAACACAGTCACATCTCGACATTGCTTCTAGCATACTAGCATAAAACAAAGACCTTCAACTCGATCACATTCACGAGAGATAAAGACAGCTAGCCTTTCCACAATATATCCATTCTAAAATGCAACGAAACCCGACCAGACAGCCCACGGTTGCAAAGACTGAGAAGAAAGTACAGGATCAAGAAGAAAAAGCCGCTAATTGAAACGATCGAAAGAAAGCAAGCAAGAATAATCGACAAGAAGACAAAAATGACAGCCAGTAAGTATACAGATCCTGTGCGAAATTAAATAATCCACAATGAAAAAGAAGGTAAAAAATAAATAGGTAGATCAGAAAATAGAAGTCATAAGCTCCACCAAATTCAACATATCGTTTCACATGGGTGCTCATTGTCATGCATGATTACTGAATTAATCAGTGGGCTCGAATTTCAATGGCTTATGGGGCCATGTGAATTAAAGAGTAAAATGTCCAGGTCGAATAGAAGTTGGAAAAAAAGAAAAAGAAAAAAAAGGAAAAAAGAAGATAAATGTCAGGTCGTGAGACATCACAGCACAAGGGTAACAAAATCCGTTTACCGGAAATCATCCTCGGCGTCATCCTCATGCCCCGGATCTAACCGCTGCACAAGTTCCTTAGTCACCCTGGCGATTTCAAAAGCGATGGGAGGAAGTTTGTTCGTGACGGTATTGAAGACTTCATCGTAGGAGAGGCCTTCGCCTTCCGCTGCGGCCTTCAGCAGTCGGCTCCGGTGATAATCCAGAGTTTCAATGGTGGACCCGGCTCGGTCCATGAGCACGGGACTAGTGCCGGGCTTGTGGATGAAATGCTCCGTGGACGCGACAACGTTGGTCACGACCGAGGAGATCGCAGAAACATGGGTGCGGATGGTAGTTAGGCCCTCTTCTCCACGGATGCTGGCAACAAGAGCCTGGATAGACTGGACAAGACCGTCGGTCTGATCTTCTACGTAAAGCTGCAAGAGGTTAGAACATTTCACACACACGAGAATCTAGACGAACCTTGAGTTCCTGAAGTTCATGGTCTTCAGGTTGCAATCCGTAGTTAACCTTCATGGGGTGGTCCAGGCCGTTGGGGATATTTTCCGATGTAGGGTTCCGGGAATGGTTCGACGGAGGACTCATAGCGCTGTAGACAGATCCGTTGTTGCTCATTCTTCGCTGGCTGGGAGTTACGCTGAAGTAGTCCGGCGATTGCATCTGAGCGAGCTGCTGCTCCTCCTCGACCTCGTCCAGGTCATCCGCCGGGCTAGCCTGGATCTTGACCAGCCGAAGCAGCTCGATGATCGCAGTTGACAGATGCGAGGCAGCGGCATCCAAAAGAGAGACCGGGGAAAGACCGCTGGAGCTGGCGAAGTTCTTGGACGCGGTGATCAAATTGTTCGCCGTCGCCGAGACCTTGCGCGTAGCCTTGGTGCGCAACTGAGATGCCCCATCGCCGAGATCTGGAGACACTTCGACATCGTGCAGCACATGACGGACCGCAATCACAACGGTCTTGATATGCTGCATGACAAGCTGGTGGTCATCAAACCGCGCCACGCGCAGAAGCTCGTCGATGGAGATCTGGAATTTGGTCACATGAACATCCTTGATCAAGCCATTCTCGTGCAGCAGCTCGTTATCTCTGGCAACGGTGCTGGCATCCGGGAGCGCCTCGGGAATGCCGGACGTCGAGGCTCGGAGGTGTCGTAACTGAGACTTCGCCTTGGCATACCGACTCTTCCACTGTTTGATCTCCTCTTCCAGCCGGTGGACTTCGCCAGACAGGCGCTCTTCATGTTCCCATCTCGAGTGACTTTGCTCCGACAAAGCCCTCATTTCCATGAGGAAACCGGCAGCCTCCCGTCTGACCTCCTCCGTCACCTGCTGCTGTTCCTGCAGTTCGCCTTGCAAACCCCGGTGCTTGATCTCGAGGTCGGCAAAACGAGCCTGCAGCTCAGGGTCGTTGCCACCTTGCCGGGATGAATCGTCTATTTGGGTTCGAAGATCCCGCTCCATAGCGTCGTGCTCCATTCGGACCTTATCAAGCTCCAATTGCAACGAACTATTCAGATCTTCCGCCTTGGAGATTTTGTTTTCCAGCTCCATTTTGATGTCCTCCCATTCCTGCCGTTCGAATGTACTGATCTATTTAGATGGTTAGCATGATAGATAGGCAAGCTGAGAGCTCCCGGTCGCGGGAGAGACATACCTGGGACTTATCCTGCTCTTCCCGATATCGATCGATCTCCTCGTCTTTCGATTTGATGAGATCTTCCAACTTGCCCACCTTGCTCTGATCCTCCTGATGTTTGGCGATCTCTTCATCCTTTGATTTGAGCATCTCCTCGAGCTTATTCACCTTATCCTGCAGCGTCGAATTTTGAGCCTGCGTGTCCACCAGCAGCTTCCGGTCCCCGTCTCCTAGAGTCGTGGTTGTCCCGCGTCGACTCTGCAGCACCACATCCAGAGCAAAGGCATCGCTTCGCGCGTCATAGTCATCGTCCATGCCTGCCATGTCATCATCGTCCTCCACCATGGTACTTTTATTGGGAACGATTGTATTGCTCTGGAAGGACTTCGCCGTCGGACCATCCCCGTTGACGGAGGGCGCTCCGCCGAGTGACCCATGCCGAGGAGGGAACGGACTGCCCGGGGGACCACCGGACGGATATCCTCCTCTGCCACGCGGCGGACCGCGAGATTGCGACCGTCGACTCCCCGGAGGCGGCGGCGGATATCCCGGACCGTAGGGGCCTGGCGGGTAGCCATTGGAAGGGCGGCCCCGGAAACTGGGGGCGGGACTCGCCCGGCGGGATTCCCGCGCCGGGAATTGGGGGAACCGGCGCTCCAGCTCGCAGTAGACATCGGTGGCGAGATCTCTGAAGCGCTGATGCTGCAGAGACGCCAGCTTCTGACGCGCCTGGTTGCGCTTCTCGTGGAAATCCTCGCGGGGAGGCAGGAAGGGCGGAACGTCGGGGCGAGGCGGCCGCGAGGGCGAAGGCGCAGCCTGCTGGCGCCGCAGCAGTTCGTCGTAGACGTCGGTACTCAGCTCTTGGAACTGGGTGGATGATAGTCGCAGCAACTTGTCGCGGGCCTTGCTCTGCTTGCCATTCCGAGGATCGTCACGGTAGCCCATGTGCAGGAAGCGTCTCAAGGCCACATAATGCTGACCCAGGAACTCCTCCATCTTCTTGTGGCGGGCGCCCTTCTTATCCTTATCGGCCAGCGTGCCATCGCTGGAGCGGGCGGCCACGGAGCTGGGGGGCGACGGGTTCCCCGAGTCGCTCACCTGGCTGGAGGCACTTCCATTTCGCACGCCGTTGGTGCCGCTGGGGACGCCGGAAGTAGGAGGGGTGGCCAGATTGCCGCGGTTCGAGAAGGTCGGGGAGAAGGGCGGATCGGATTTCTGGTACTGATTGATTCCCGACCAGTCACTGCCGTCTACGGAGACCGGCGACATGGTCCCTGAATGACCATTCATAGGGGGCCGAGATGTCGACGGTCACGTTGCACCCGGAGCCGCTGATTCGGGGGGAGGGCAACGACGCTTGACCTGCAGAATCAAGAAACGGCCGGGCGGCTAGGCATTCGAGTGTTCGGCGGGTTTAAAATAGAAAGGAAGAGGGAAGATGTTTGCAACGATGGAACTGTAAGACAGACGAAAGAGAAAGAAAGAAAAAAATGCAACGCGGAGGAGAGCGACAGGGGTGGATCAACAAAATCCGGGAGGTACGGAGGTAAGATGGTTAATTTCGATCGTGGCTGACGGTAAGGAGCGACGGGTCCGTTCGTGCACTGAGGCTGGCCGGAGATTATTTATTATAACAAGCGGAGGAATTTCAATCACAAGCAATTAAGGAGTCAAGTCAAAGGAACGGATGGGGAGGAAAAAAAAAAAAAAGAAAAAAAAAGAAAACAAGCAGCCACCCGGAGAGACAGAGGACGAGGAAGAAAGAGCAGAAGAAAGCCGACCAAAGGAATAAGTGCAGCAGCAGAACACGAAAGGGAGAGAGAGAACGAGCGAGCGAGAGCGCCAGATCGGCCCAACAATGCCAGCGGTAGGGAATTAGTGAGTCGAGCCAGACCCAAACAGCCACAGCAGACGAGGTTCCCAAGTCCAAAGGAAGTGGAGTTGAGGAGGAACGGAGCCGGGGAGACGGGCGAGAGAGTCGACGGTATTTTATCAGAGTACCAGTAAGTCACCAATAAGGTCAGGAGGAGTAAGGACTACGCCCTTACCTACTTGACACGGCGTGCAGACTGCAGCAGAGGATCGCTCTTCCTCCTCAGATCTGGATGTCATACATCAGTACCGGTGCATACTCCTGCATTTACTGTGTACATATGTGTGATCATGGATATCACGGACAGTGTAAGATACATGAAGATATACCTGCAGTTACAACCATCCATGGATGAATACAACAGATTAATACTGTATGGTAATACCGACCGATCTCGACCGATCCCATTTAGTGTGTTTACTGTAAATGGCTAGTCCCGTGTGGCGGTGCGCTTTGCTTGCCGCAGGGGATTCCCCTTCTTTATCGACTCGAGTAGTTACATTGTCGTCACAACTGTAGATGTGTCAACTGTTGTTCTTTTGCCCTTTGCCATCAAACCAAAGAATAGCATAAGTAAGTATTTCCTATCCTCATAATTCAACCATCCAGTCAAAAAATAGGAGAACAAATCAATCCAAAGATCGTCCGGGGCCATTCCCATTAACGAGGATACAAGCCAACTCTCCAGCCTGGGCGATCCACATCGCCCGACCTTAGCTCAGGAGGTCCTGCTGGTCTACTGCGCGAGTCTGGACCGTTTACTGTTTAGCCGCCCCCAAGAGACGGTCGTGCCGTAATTGCTTTACATTAGTCTCTACCAGGCTGCCTAGTAAGTACTAAGTAACCTTGGAGAGTTCTAGTGCCGGTACTTTGACCTGGCCAGGACCATCCCTCAGGACTCCGTACGCTGTAATTGGGAAGTGGTCTTTTGATTTTTGGTCGATCGAGTTCATTTCATTTCATTTCCTTTGGTTTATTTTTAAATTAGGACATTGACCACTCTGTGTCTGCTGCCTGTTGCCTGCACTGTCTGCACTGTCTGCACTGTCTGCACTGTCTGCACTGTCTGCACTGTCTGCACTGTCTGCACTGTCTGCACTGAGGATCGGATCTCGATTTAGGATCTCGTATCTACCGTAGTCGTACAGTGTACAGTTGTACACTGTACACAAGGAACTACTAGTTAACTACACCGCAAATTATACCCCAAGAGTGAAGAGTAAGACCGATAAATCTACTCCGTACTGAGTAAATAAACCCACCGGTTAATTTCCTCCGATCAGGCAGCCAGTCTCGACCAATCCTCCATCATGCCACAATATATAAGAAGACCATAAATAAACCGGTCCCGGCTCTAAACCCGCCGCGTTGGTTTCAGAGTCGAACATACCGCACATCAACCAACCATCCTGTTCGGCTGCCGCTAGTTCGCTGCTGACAGGAGGCTCAATTTGAACTGTCATTCTTCAGGTGTGTCCGTGGCTGCGCGGTTTTATGATTGTTTACTTTGCATATTTTGGCTGGTACGGAGTAGATTCAGAAGATAGATACATTATGTAGTAAGTATGAAGTAGTTACGGATAGAAAGCGAAGTCGATAGATACATCATCCAGGCGATATATCGCATCATAATAGACATGTAAATACTCATACCCCGCATGCTCAATTCCTCAATTCTTCTCTTCTCTCCCATTCAAACAGAATCTAACCAGGTGCTACCTCATTCACCACCGCCAATTTACATCCGAAATGTCAACTCCCGTCCGCTTCGACCACGTTCTCATCGACCTCTCCACCCGAGACTTCGAGGCCCCGCCGTCGTGGCTGATGGACAATTTCACCATCCTCGAGGGTGGTACGCACGCGGGTATGACCACCTATACTTCAGTTACATGAATTCGATACCTAACTTAATGTACTCGTTTATTTCATATCATATCATTGATCCCTGGTTTACGTATGTACTTGATTTTCTAGCCAGGGCGAAGGCTTTCCCTTTCCGTTTTTGTGCTCACCCCTCGCCGCTTTTTGCTCACTGGGTAGATCTGAGCACGCCCTGAATGGCCTGAGGCGATCACTGAGCACGGAGTGAGCGGAAGACTGAGTGCCCTGAGTAAGTAACCTCAATAAACTGCACCCCAACTAGCGATCTCTCCCCTTGCCCGTTCTCCACTCCTACTTCACTTTTGCCCGTCACACTCCCCAAAAAACCCAGCACTGCCATCACGAGAATGGCAAATCAGGGAAGCTATTTTTCCTTCTGATACCCACGGCCTTTTCTTCAGGAGGAAATGCTGTACTATTGCGCTGTACCAATATAGCTAACATTTGTCCGGGTTTTCCCTGTCGAAAGACAGCACAAGCCCAGATGTTCATAGGAGCGGCCCTGGATATCCCAAGAGTCAAAAAATCCTCGGAACATCAAATAGCGCTAGTCCACTAGAGGCATTTTCTGAATTTCGATCCTGAATATCTACCGAGTAGAATAACATGCCAATGTTTCCCCATCAAAACGAATAATGCTGAGGATCAACAATATCAAGTAAAAGAATAAGTTTCGAAAATCAGGACGTAGTATTGATTTTTTGTGGTTATCCTGGTCTGGAAGAATGCGCCTGACCTGTTTCCGGAACTCCATACACCTTGCTTCAATGACCACATAGCACCTGCGCACCATATTCTTCCATACGCCTACTATTACTGAGAAGCGACCTGCCTGTCAAGGGCGGAAGTCTTAGCTTATGTCGGTCTTGTGTTCAGAAGGACTGCCACCACAACTTAGCTTTCGATTTGGCCATTCATTCCCTGCATACCCATGACGCATGCGGCATCGAGGCACCCCGGATCTTGTGAATATTTATCTGCTTATGTATTGTTAACCAAGTAATGATGTTTGTTGCTTTCAAGTTATAGGTTCATGCCGCATGGGGAAGTTCGAACACAATCGGTAATATCAGCCAAAGACCAATACAACAGCATGTTGGAATGCTCAACGGCCATAAGCCCATTCCAATCGGAGTTATATACCCTATTCATCAGGTCATGTCATCCCTTGATAAGGGACGGTCAACAAAAGCCGTTTCTTTGGCCTAGCTGATCGACCCTTTTCACTGAGCATCCATGGATGGAATGTGATGCAGATTGCAGTGTGGACTTCTCGGTCCTAAAATAGGTCCCATAAATACCGAGTCCAGTACATCCTAGACTTTTAGGGATTAAATGTGATGATCCGGAGAACCGTCGTCTGGGTGATATTCTGAAAACGAATTACTGGATCCGAGAAAAATGGGATTAACACAATGAGTTCTCTCTGTACGAGACTATTTAGCGATGCGCCTTCCCCATTCTCATTACTTTCTTTGTTACTCACCAAACATTGTTTTTCTCTATACTTTTCCATCTCGCGACTAATTGGTCGGGAAGCTTATTTTCAAGCCCCCTTTGTTTGACCATTTGTCAAATAGACCGCCAACATGCCCAAGAACACTGTCCTCCTTATGGTCCTGCTTCTGCAAACCCTGTCGTCCACAATAGCTCTTCCATCTCATACTGAGGGGGAGATCAAAGTAGTTGAGGACTGCGCTCCTGGCTGTGATCACACCGGCCATGGAGATAACAGTGACCATAAGCACCATGACTCTGATCCTTGTGAAGACAACAATGGTGCCAACGAAGATGACTGCAAAAATAATACCATCACCATTACTGTCATTACTACAGACACAATCGTTCCGACTTACTGCCCGACTGACGTTCCTGTACCCACCGACTGCGCAATGGAAACTATCACTGTTGTTGAACCAGGAACCACAATTACGGAGCCCGCTGTGACTACCACAATCACATCCCCCGGAGTGACCATCACGGAGCCTGGCCCAACTGAAACTGTTACGGAGCCAGCAGTGACGGAGACAGACACTATCACAATTACTGAGGACTCTGGGGCAGTGACAAGTACAGAGACAGTTACAGACACAATTACCGAGCCCATAACCATTACTCAAACTGAGACCCAGGTGTCGACTACCACTACTACCGATTGCCCGTCGGATACCGGCAGCCCGGGGGGAGGGCCAGACACGGGCAACTGCACACCACCCACCATTAGCTTTTATCCAGATCGCGACCCCAACCAAGCATTCGAGATTAATGACACTGGCATTTACGGGCATGGACCTTCGGCCTTGATAAGCACACTCACGAGTCATATTTGCAACCAGCTGAGAAGTCCATGCAATGCTCCCGTAGCAACTGTGGAGTACTGCTGGTCGGCAGCTGCAATGGTAGATGCCAGCGGCTTGCAAGGTGAGGAGCAGGCTAACTATTGGAACTCGTTTTGGACCTAGCTTGGCCTGTCCTACAGTGATGGTGACATGGAAATGTGTAAGATTACTGTATTTTGGTCTGATTGCCTCTATTTTTCTTTTCCTGGTCTGTTTCGGGAATTAATTCAATGGGCAAGTTTGTGATCGTCTTTTGTCGTTCTGAACCATGTGGTGTTGTTACTTGTGCTTCATGTTTTACAGTGGGATGCAAAAAGTATTTGGATGTGGCCGCGGGGGTTGACTTAACCCGGCACTTCATCGCCTCGATCAAGCCGAAATAATTGGCCAGGCAATTATTCAACATAATTGCGTCTTATGATGAAATGAACGATCATTTCCATTGCATTTTGATCATAATCTTGGAAGCTCTAGAGATTGCATAAATAAGAGCTGAATCCCGTAGTTAGAATAATCAAGACCTTCATTCATGGAGACTCCAGGGAAAAGCAGCCCCATTCTTCTGCATCAATTTTGTGGCAATCACCATGAGTGCTGTCAGCTGCAGAGCCGCTGCATCGGACTGGGAAGTGTCGCACTCGCGGCTGTGCTCCATGCCGGCTATATCACGCTGTATACTCCTTCCGCTCCGTTCTATCTCTGTAATTCTCCTAGTCTTTGCGTCAGTACTAGGGACCTGACCGGGTCCCTACCTTAGGGTTCCATGTAATCATCGTCTTCGTCGTCTAGTCCGAGGCCTTCTAGTAGGCTTCCTAGTCCTAGGGTCTCCTTTTCTTCACTAAACCTAGCGAATTTGAATTGTCGGAGTAGGCCTGTTCGGTGCATAAATTCAGCGATGTAGCGGATCACCTGCGGATGTGTTATCAACGTATCGTAGTCCTGCGTACGACCACAGAGGCCCTCTATCTCATTGAGGCGCCCCATAAGCTCCCTACGGTAGGTAGTGTGCAGCGGGCACTCTGGTAGAACGTGTCTAGGTGTCTAAGATCCTAACTCACACTCACACCTATCTGAATCGACCTGCTTGATCTTGTAGAGGAAGTGTCTTAATCCTGCTCTCATACTGCGCATCTGCATAATTATCGACGTGTGCGGCTTACTGAGTTTCTCGTAGATCCCCAATTTCTTCTTAACGGGCATAGCGAGCAGCCTCCGTGTGGATTTTCCTACTTTCTGCCTCTCCCACTACGCACGGAGGCTCTGCCTAACGGTCCGCTTCGCCGCTGCCGCGAGCCGTTGATTGGCTGGCCTGGTTGCCCCACTGAGATTATTTCAACTCCTCAGCGGCCTTGGCAGCCACGTCCGCCTGCTCGTTCCCCTTGACTCCAATGTGAGCAGGGATCCACCGTAGCTCCATATCTGCCTCTACGAGGACCTCTGCTCCTGTAGGGCCTTGGCGTAGAGCTCTAGCCCTCTTGTAGATGGCCCGGAGCATGTGTTGGCCGGAGGGGCGCCCCCACAACACCACGAATCACGATCCTGTCAATATTTTCCTCTCCATGCTTAGATTTCTGAAATATAGCGCCAGATAGTTGAATGAACGTCTGTTTAGGCTTGCCGTCTTACGACCCCTCTTTTTCTCTTGACGGCCGGTTTGAGCTGTAGCTTCAGCCATATCGCGTTCGTCAGCCCATGCACATCGTGTAGGTGACGACGAAAATCGATCTCAGACACAAACGATCGCAAGCAGCCACAAATTGGCCTCGTACTTGGCCATTCCATCTTCTGAATGTGCCTCCTTTCTATATGCCCTCTTAAGCCGGCACTGTGCAACCAGTATTTCACTCTTTCTTCAAGTGCATGGGTCTGGTCCTACAGGCAACAAGGGCAGTATCCGGGGCGGATTACCGTATGGCGGTAGATAATAACCTCGCAGTGTAAGGTTTCCCACGATTGGAGGTGTTGGCTAATGTGATAGCACCAATCGTTGTCCTGGGGCCACGACATACACTCGTAACAATATCTCAGCTGATGGTCAGCTACTCCCAGGCGGCTAGCAATAACCTTACAAATACAGTCATGGATGTGACGACTTCTCTTTGGTTTGACCAACCTACGTTCAATTAGTAGAGTATCCTACACATTATGGCAGATGACACCTACTTCTGGATGTTATCTTGGCAGGTATCGACCGGACGGTAGCCATTAATTGGAGATTCCCTGAGGAGATAAAGCACATCGTAATCACAGCGACACTGTGTCAGCAAGTGAGTCTCAAACAAGAGCTTCTCGTCATGACTGAGTGACTCAGCAGAAGACAAAGTCTCCACTATGCATCCCACTTCAGGCATGATCAGGGTCAGAGCACGAGTACATGCATTGTTCTCTAACGATTCGTGAGGGTTCTTTCCCCGGCTTAGAATCCGCCAATTGTGACGTCCTGAGCATGCAGCAACGCCCTATACCAGGGGGCAGGGTGTTTGTATAGTTTGCACTATTTGACTCGTTTGTCCCACGCAGTGGGTTTGTTTACTGTTTCATGCAGTAAATCGCTGTTTTCTTCTTCTTCTTCTTTCCTCAACCTAGTATTTCGTAACTAGCCTACAATAAAGATCATTTCTTCATTCCTGAGGTTGTCACACCCTCATTAAAGCGGCTTCATCCAAACAAGGAAAGTCACATTAATTCTAGAAAATCTAGTTTGTATAGGGATATATACATACTTCTATACCAACTCCCTACCTACATCCAACCTACCATAACTCCTACCCCTACTTACAATATATACCTACCTACCCACCTACCCCAGGTAAACAAAAAACCCCAATAACCAACCCCTAACACCATAAACCGAATATACAGGAGGCCAAACCCGCAACCACCTAATCCCCCTAGCGGACAACACCTACATCGAACTGCTGAACTTCATCACCCCGCCATCATCACACGCCGACTGGACCACGAAATACCCAGGCGATTTCGCCCTAACCACATTCCCCCCCCGTCACGGCGACGGAGAATTATAAGCGGTTGGTGAGCGCGCTGGAAACAGGCCCTGATACCCTCGGTATCACATACAAGTCGCCCGTTCCTGGCGGTCGAAAAACCAAGTCTGGAGAGGAGGTGAAGTGGGAGATTGTCAAGGCGGAGTTTGCTACTAGTGCTACTGATGCTATCGGTAAAGAAGCACAGCACGGTACAACCTCCGTGCCATTCTTCTGTCACGACGTAACAGACCGCAAGCTGTGGGTTCCTCGCGTGCCGGAATCCGGTCATGCGTCTAGAGTGGTGGGCATCAAGGCGATTGAAGTGGTGGTGGGGAGGGAGGAGATCGGGGCGTTTGCGGAGGTGTATACAGCTGTGTTAGGGGTGGAGGGTCAGACGACGGAAGCAGGGGACAGAGGGTTTTGGTTGAGGGCGCCAGGAGCGGAGGAAGAGACGGGGGTGGTCAGGTTGAGGGCGTCGAGGACGGAGGAGGATGAGAGGTTTTTGATGGAGAGGGTGGTGGGGGTGAGTGCGTTGGTGTTTAGGGTAGAGGGAAATGGGGAGTTGAGGCTTCCGATTGCGGGATATTATCTTCAGGGACTGTAGGATTGGACTACTGTTATACTGCTAGACTGCTAGACTGCTAGTGTGCTAGATGGTCACTGGAATGCAAGGTGATAACTGAAAAACATGTTCATATTCGTTCTATGGAATTATACATAGGTTGTAAATATTCATTTCCCATCCGGTCCATCGATCACCAGCTGCATCCCCTTCGTTAATAATAAAAATCAAACCCCTTTTCTGTTCGCTTGGTGTCGACATGACCGTGTTTCTATCGTGTCCAAGTTCAGAGCGCATCCGGCGCCAACGAAACGTTTCAGTACTCCTAGACTCCAGGTGCTGATCCCCACAAATAGAAGTAAGTCCCTCTTTCGGGAACAGACCAGTATCACCATACAGAGAACGATGTACCAAAGCAAAGAAGCAGAAAGAAAAAAAAAAAAAATACAAGAGATCCAAGGATCCAAATAAAAAAGACACGACGAAACTCTCCAAAAGAGCGTTTTGGTTGGTGGCCAGGGAACAATGGGGCATATCGTGGTGAATGCCCAGTTGGGAGAACGCCCGTGAGGTAAGGGTAGAGAGAAGGAGCCCCTTAGATAGTAACCACCATCCAGTGGTAAAAAGTGAGAATTGCGTTACATTCTAGGCTTGGCTTCGCATTCATTTGGAGCCCGTCATGGTCAGACCCCGAGTCGCCCCGACAGCCGCCGAGACCGGGGTTGCCGACCGCGTGGGAGCGGCACTCCGGTTGTGCGCCATGTGAGCCCGGACGAGGTGACCAGCGGCCAACGCGGAACACAGACTCAATTCTCCGGCGAGAACGGCAGCACCGACAATGCGGGCAAGCTGACGAGCATTATCTCCGGGGTTGGTGGGGTGGGCGCCACGAACGCCAAGCATATCCAACATGGCAGATTGTCCCTCGAGGATAGTACCGCCACCAATGGTGCCGACTTCAATAGAAGGCATGGACACGGCAATTTGGAGGCTACCGTTGTTGCTGAAAAGAAGAAAGTATTGTTAGTATACATCTTCCGACGCACCGAGATTGGGGGATTAGATGACAACTTACTTTTTCATCGTCGTGATACAGCTGCTACTTTCTACATTCTGCGCGGGATCTTGACCGGTGGCGAGGAAGATAGCCGTGACCATGTTAGCAGCGTGCGCGTTGAAGCCACCCAAGCTTCCCGCCATCGCACTACCGATCAAGTTCTTGCTGGTGTTCAGTTCAACCAAGGCGTCGACGTCGCTCTTCAGAACGCTGCGAACGACCTCACCCGGGATGATAGCCTCGGCCACGATGGCCTTACCACGGCCATCGATCCAGTTGAGCGCAGCAGACTTCTTGTCCGTGCAGAAGTTTCCGGAAACCGAGATGGTGGCCATATCGTCAAAGCCACATTCGGTAGACATCACACTCAGGGCCTTCTCCACACCCTTCGAGATCATGTTCATACCCATGGCATCGCCGGTGGTGGTCTTGAATCGAATGTACAGATAGGTACCGGCAAGCGCAGTCTTGAGATACTGGAGACGGGCGAAACGACTGGTGGAGTTGAACGCGGCAGTCAGGATGCTCGTACCTTCTTCGGAATCGATCCAGACCTTGGCTTCAGCGGCTCGTTTAAGAGTAGGAAAACCAACGCAGGGGCCTCGGGTCATGCCGTCGCCGGTGAGAACGGTAACGGCACCGCCGCCCGCATTAATAGCCTTCGCACCGCGACTGGCGCTAGCAACCAGGACACCCTCAGTAGTAGCCATGGGAATGAAGTAGCTTTGACCGTCGATAGTAAGAGGACCGGCGACACCAAGAGGCAAGGGCAGATAACCAATGACGTTCTCACAGCAGGCACCGTGGACGAGACCGTAGTTGTAGTCCTTGTACGGGAGCTTGGACTTCTCCAGAGAGCTCGTCACAGCGGCGGTAGCCCTGGTACGGGAGACGACACCTCGGCGGATCTTGACCGCTCTGGTGAAGGCATCGACCCGACTCATGAGGTCCTCGTTTTCCATCGTCTTTTCGAGAGCGTATCCGGGGATCTTGCCGCGAACGGACAGATCAATCAGTTCCTCGTCCGTTAGGTAAGCGGCGCGCTTCTCCTTGAGCATGGCCTCACACTCCTCGGGCGTTCTCGTGGGGCCTTCGGGGTTGTTGAGATCGATCTTCGGGTACTCCTTCGGCTCGGCGGGAGCCGCCTTAGGGGGGAGAGGAGCGGCTTCGGGTTCCCTGATACTCCACCGGGCGGCGTTGAAGAGGTATCCGTTCAAAATGATACTCAAAGTCAAGGCAGCGATGATCCACTTGCTAATGATCGGGTCCTCGACGCTCTTCAGGAGGCTGTCGATCACTCGTCCACCAACCGCGTCCAGGAATTGGTCCGTGTATTCAATGTCGAAAGACTGACCATCCTCAGGGATGGCGTAGTGCACCGAAGGGTATTCCAGCTTGTACTTGACAGGGGGAATGACAGTCACGACCGTTTCCATCATCTGGCTCTTGGCGGAGACGTAGATGGAGTCGAGACCATTTTCAGCGACCTTGAAGGGATCGATCGGCGTCGGGGCCAGCACGTTAGAGACCCGCGAGATGATGGGAATATTCGAGTTGTGGTTTGAGTTACGGAACGGGATGGCAGACAGGTTGACCACATTGACTAGGACGAAGCCTCCCACCATGAGGATCTTGAAGCGGCGGACGTTGCTCGACTTGATCTTTCTTCCGAAGATGCTGGTGTCACCATCGTTGTCCGAGCTCGACTGGAGCCAGTCGTTGCTGGACGCGACGTTCTCGGCAACCTGCTGAGTGATCCCGTCCTCTTCCAAAGCTTTGCGGGTCGCAACATGGTGCTTAATGCGCGTGATCTCGAGCTTAATGCAGAGGATGGTGGTGTAGAACGTAAAGAGCAGCACGCAGTCGAAGAAAAGGATCCAGGCCGCAAGGAAACAGAACTGTCTCAAACCGCCCTGCACCCCAGAGGCGGCTCCGGCGACCAGGATGCCGATCTCAATACAGTAGTCACGAACAATTTCGAATCCCTGGTCCTTGATCGCAGTCTGAATCGAGTCCTGGATGGATCTCGGAGCAGGCTGGTTGGGAGCGAAACCCGGGGCACCCTGGCGCTTGCGGTCCACGGACGCGTGAAGTACGGCACGAGTAAGAATGATCGGCTTCTCGAACCCAACGGTAACGACGAGGAAAGGAAGACCCTCGGACAGAAGAAGCATATTGATCGGGACACCGAGCTTAGTTGTCACGAGGAGACCGAAGAGGAAGGCAAACATGCCGGACAGAAGAACGGTGAATGCCAACCAGGACCGCGAGCCAAGACGACGCATGGAGAAGAAAAGGGAGACGAAGCTGAGATGCATGGAAAGATAGCCCAAGGTCATGATGACAATATCGATCGTTTCGGCATGCTGACGCGGCGTTAGCAACCAATGTACCTAGAAATAAAAATGTTCGGTCCAGAAGGGGTGGTACCTTAATCAAGTCCACGAAGGAGCTCCAGGCATCAGTCAACCATAATTGCAGCGATCGGGTCGAGCCAGAAGCCGGGCCACGAGCCGCACGCATGATCCATTTTTTCTGCTCGCCAATGTCCTCGTCCGCCGACGGGTCGGGGATCTCCTGCACCGCCTTTAGGAATTGAGGGACCTTATCAAAGGGAAGAGTATAGGCGAGCGACGAGTCCTGGGAGAAAGGCGAGAAGAGATTCGGGGTGTGAGGAACCACTTGCGCGGAGGCGTTGGCGGGAACGGGTACTTCTTCCGCGACGGGGGCTGTGGAGGCGGATCGCGACAGGGAGTCAGGGAAAATGAAGGTGGCCAATGCCAAATGCTGGGCGATCTACCAGAGAGAAGCCAAAAAGACCATGGTTAACAAGGCACAAGCAACAACCAAATAGGTTGGAGTTATCAATGGCAGACTTACCTCGGCCTCATTGTGCGTCAACGCGTCATCTACCTGCCATTTCCACGAGGTGCTTTCGCCTAATCGGAGATTCCTGCTACCCTGAAGAAGGGTGTCGACATCCACCTGACCGGCCACATTCCTCGGATTTCGGATCGTATCGAAGATACTGCCCTCGATGAGACCGACGTAGGTAGTGCTGGCGAGCAGAGCAACGACCACGATGGTGTGAATCGGATGGAGACAAGCACGGCGCGAGACAGTTTGCAGAACGTTGGTAACCTGACGCTTCAACCACCACGGTTCGGCCTCCTCACCGTCGGCCGGACGAAAGTTCCGCGGAATTAAGGTCGCAGCCATATTGGATGGTCGGGAGGAAGGAGGAGGGGGGAGGAGAGGAGAGGAAAAGGGAAAAGAAGGGAGGGAAGCGGTGTGGGCCGCGATTTAAAAGAAAGATAGTCCGCTTGATACTATCGACGGCCCGCAGGGGGGTTTGTCTCCCTATCGGAAAGACCGCCACCGAGGGTTTTCACGCAAAGATTTGTACGAGACAAACGGGTGTAACTGAAAAGTCCCGGTCCCACTGTGACATGGGAGGGAGTGGGAGCCCAATAAATAAATATATAATCAATCAATAGTTAGGACTGGAGTCTGGAGACGGAGGAGAGATACGTCGGAGGCGGAGCTGTTAAAGAAAAAAAAAAAAAAAGGCACGATCGGGGAGTCAGCATCACGTATGAACGATTACCGGTTGGGGAATCATCAAGGCAGAACGGGGTGTAGGCAAAGCTTACCAGAGCTGAATCAGACCGACCTCGTGTGGAAAAGCCCAAAAAACAAGAGGTCCAACAGATAAAGTCCAATGGCTGAAAGCAATTGCTCAGCTTGTTCGTATACTTCCTCTTTCTGTCTTTTGGGGGGGTTTTTTTTTCTACTTGCACCCTTTAATATTTATCTTTTTTCTTTTTTCTTGATACACGATACCAGGACCCCTTGAAATCAAGAAAACGGGAAAGGATTGTGCCACGGGGGAGGGACACCGGAACTTCGGTTGTTCCGTGTAATTCTGCCGCCTGGCTCAGCCACAGTGCAGCCAGCCAATCAGATAGATTAAGTGTGCGGGTATCCGTACTAGCCTCGTTGCTTCAGGCTGAACAGGGCGTTGGTCGAGTTGGACGGGAGGTGTACTACCGACTCAGTGTAGGTTGATGGGAAGCTGATCGGGAGGATCTGGAGAAAGATGAAAGAATCAGAGAAGAGAAAAAAGAGTTGGGATGGCGGGGGTCATAAAGAAATAAGCCGTCAGCCTTCAGCCCTGGGCCCAGCTAGAATTTTTTTTTTTTCTTTCTTTTTTCCCTCCTTGGTCATTCTATTATGGTATGTATCATTTTATTCGATTTTTTTTTTTTTTTTTTATTTCCTTGAGTCGAGGTTGTTTGTCTGACACCCTCCGCTCCGTTTATCGGGAAGCCACTAATTCACGCTAGTTCAAGGACCATCGACTCTGGAACTGGGTCACTGGGTGACGGTGTACGCTTACTTGGAGTCTGAATGGACACCGAATGCTCCGCTTTCGAGACTAATTTTGGGAGATAGCAGAATAGGAAACAAGGGATACTCCGTTACAAGCACCCTAGGGCAGAACCAGAAGGCAGGTGAAAAAAACAAGGGATACCAGTGGCAATGCAATGTTCATCTCAACGAGAGTTGTCCCCCGTTGATGCCATTAGCATGTCTTAAAGGATCATATCTAACTCGTTGGGGCTCCATGCATGAAGACTTTCTCGAAAACTATGGATGCAGAATGCAGACGTTGGGTGCATGAGATCAGATCGCAAACTCAACAGACATCATCGTTATCCGCCTTACATGGATCGTTGGTCCAACACGTCGCACCCATACCAATGCACGGCGTAGGGGGGAAATCCTCACCGCTTCCTCTCTCTGGATCCAACGGCATGTTGGTCTAGCTTTGAGGGTTGTCTGGAAACTTTTCCAACGAGACAGAGCTACCAAAGCCGGTCCATGGCGTCTTCGCACCAATTAACCAGAAAGGCAAGAGGAATTTCTGAGCCCCCGACACGGCTAAAGATGGCAGCATCCGGTCATAATTCGACTATCGGCATGCTCGAGAGCTCACAGACCAATCAGCTATCAGAGCTTCTCGGCGGGACTACGAGGTACGGAGTAGGTAGCAGTCAGTTACGGAGCAGTAACAGACAGTTCCTGGTCTTTTATGTAACCAGCTCCAGTGAGTACCATGTTTTCTTGCCCCTCGTCCCATTCCCATTCGAGCCGATCAGTTTGACCTATTCGCGACAAACTGGATTCTGCACGCTGAATGGCAGGTATTTCCCTCGTCTTCCGAGCCCCGGTGGGACGCACTCCGTATGTTTTTGTTAAGTGGGCTTCGGGGAGCCACTGAACAGCGGTGATTCATCGGAGATAACGCTGCCCAAACCCACCTTTCATCTAATCAATCTCCCATCGCCGGTCAAGAGTCTCCATTCTGCTCGGTCTTCGTGTCTCGCTTCGGAAGACTTTGCCTGGACGGGGGCCCTCAAGGTAAAATAGTTCGTGTTTTCAGTTCGATTCCTAATCGCACCTTTGACGAGAAACCGAATCCTGGCCGCCTTCTTCGCCATCACGAACAAAACCGGCGAGTCGGCGCCAATCACGATGAAGATGAACTTACAATTTGCGTCATCATCTGAGGGTAAATTAGCTTAATGCCATGTGAGTTTGGTCCGGTCGAGGGAGCTCTGAAAATGACGCACGGCCGAACTTTGGGCTGAAGAAGCGGCCGCACAAAGAAGGTTGGATTCGCTCGGGGCGATTGTGGTGCGGGTGGACAATATAATTTGCATTTCGACTACAATACGGAAACCTGCGAACTCAGAATGGATCCGTTCCGAGCTCTGGCGAGTGACCCAGCAAGCGACTCGTGGTGGAGATTCTTTGTCGGCGCCAAGCGACATTCCCAAGAAACTGTACTCCGTCCTCGGTAGGTCTGTCTTGAGGGTGATTCCTGCCCTTCGATTGACATCTTTTTTTTTCTCGCTCTCTTTTTGTTTTTTCTTTCTTGTTTTCTGGAGTCTGAATCTTTCCGAACTCGAGAACCATGAAATCTCCTCTCTGACCTCATCCAAAACTATACTCGCACCGTTAAGCATATGGCAAAGGCCCGGAGAGTTTCTTACTCCGTACTTTTATTGGTACATCCATACTAAAATCGGATTGAGTCCCAGATTAATTCCACTTTTATTTTTAGTTTGTCAATTTGTATGGCTTTCCTCCCTTGAGTCATTCCTCTTCACTTGAAGACGGAGCGCGACCTACTGTAAACTGCTGCTGTGTCGATTGGCGCCGTGTCTGTCAAGAGCGTGGGGCTCCAGTGTTTCGCCGCTATACTTCGGGCGCCTGATTGCCCAACCTCCGTGGACCATGGTCATCTTAATTTCTAAATTTGATCATGAGCTTGATTGACGGGGTTCCGATTTCTTCACCTCAAACAGGCCCCGGACGGTGAAGACTCGATCTACCGCTGTCTCGGCGCTGTCTGCCAGATCTCTCTCCATGCGGCCGACAGCGCTTAAGCTGGACATTGCTAGGACCAATCGGTGAGCTGCCTGACCGGGATGGCATGTCTTGCTGCAACATTAGAGCTATCATTGACGCCTAACTTATTGAAGAGCTTTTGTCTGAAACTCGTAGGCGCCGTTGCTATTTGCAGACGGCGGGATCCTGCAGGTCGCCCTGATTGATGGATTGCAATCTGGGATGTCCCTTAGAGCTCTGGACCGGCTCTATGCCAGAGCCTCCGGTACTCTTCCCTCTCATCATTGGCAGCTTCACCAGGGTCTCTAACGGTCTAACCCGGCTAAGAGATAGGGGGTGATCGACTGATCTGTATCCGTAACACTTCTGGACGCAGAAGGTGCTTGGACTATGACGTTCAGTCTACAAGTGATTGGCTGACAGCCTCTGTTTTTAGATCTGCTCTATTCACCTACATTGACTTAGCGTCTCGCGAGACATTCTATTTTCCTCTATTGACCCTGCTTCTATAAGCGTGTTTCGTCTATTCACTCGAAATACCCAATCTTGCAGATAGACCATCGCAATGCGTCTCGATTCATCGGGTTTAAAACTGGCGGGTTGTCTCCTCGAGGGAAGAAGAGTAAACCAAAAAATATCAAAAAGGACCCTGGCGGTCACAAAAGGATTCTTCCCTCCGAAGCACTCTCTTTCTTTCCGTCGTTGAAGATTCCGCTCTCGTTTTTAAATTTTCATTGTTGATTATCTGAACTTCCCTGCCTTTAGCTCCCCACACTGACTGGTGCTGGCACCATCCGCAAAACAAAGACGATATACTGGAGATAGTCAGGAAGCTTGCTGACGCCGTTATGTTTATATAAGTCCATGTCTGTCTCTCATTATCTCTCTTCCTACTGCCTCCACACAAATCCAGTTTTACTGACTTGACTGAAGACTTCAAGACACAAAAACTTCAATTCCCATTCTTTTATACTCCGCTGGTCGGTTTTATTCTCCAAATTCAAACCAAAACAGGACACGCAAAATCCACACACCAAAATGACGAAGTCCAATGCATCGGGGCTGATGCTCCTGCTTCTCTTGGCCGTGACCTCGAGCGCCCATACTTGGGTTGAACAGCTCATGGTCATTGCACCCAACGGAACCTTCATCGGGTCTCCAGGCTATCCGCGCGGAAATGTCCCTCGTACCGCGCCCAACTTCAACGATGGCACTATGACCCATATACTCACGTCGACGGGTGCCTCAAACACGACCGTCAAGGGTGACATGTGCATGAACTCGCAGAAGAAACAAGTCCAGAGTCCGGGAAATCCCCGACTGCAGGCAGCCGCGGGAGACCCCGTCGCTCTTCGATACCAGGAAAACGGCCATGTGACCCTGCCCGAGACGCAGGCCGGTAAGCCCAAGAACCGCGGGACGGTGTATGTCTATGGCACCACCAACCCCAAGGACAATGATCAACTGGAAGCTATCCACAAGGTCTGGAACAAGGACGGCTCCGGCGGCGACAAGCGCGGCGTGTTGCTGTCCACCCAGGACTTCGACGACGGCCAGTGCTATCAGATCAACGGCGGTGCCATCTCCAAGGAGCGCCAGAATCACTTTCCCCACCAGGCGGATCAGTTGATGGGCGCCGATCTGTGGTGTCAGCAGGATATCAAGCTGCCGCAGAATCTTCCCTCGGACAAGCCCTACACCCTCTACTGGGTCTGGGACTGGCCGACTGCTCAGGGCGTCGATCCGAGCTTGCCTGCCGGAAAGCAAGAGATTTACACGACTTGCATGGATGTTGACGTGGTCAGCAAGCCTAATACGCAGCAGCACATGCCTGTCAAGTACGCCGACGGTCAATCCTTGAATAGCGCTGCCGTCAAGGCCCGCTTCATCGGAACGATGGGCGCTAGTTTCGACGTTCCTATTGACGACGGGGGCAAAGGCGCAACCAGCACTTCGCAAGGCACGGGCATGAAGTCAGCCACTTCGGCTCCATCGCCAACGCCGACCGGGTCTCAAGATGATCAGAATCAGGATGAGGATGAGGATGAGGATGAGGATGCAAGCAGCACCTCGCAAGACGCGGTGGGATCCGTCACTCTGGTAACTTCATTCTCAGCACCGACCGGAACCCGTGACGACCCTGATCAAGACGAGAATGGCGATGAGAGTGCCGGTGGTGATGATGATACCAGCGACTCTTCGGTACCTGCAGTCTTCGTGCAGCCCAGTATCAGTTCAACAGTGCCCGACAAGGTCACGGTGACTACATTCATGACGATGAAGAAGACTGTCCATCCCAGTGGTTGCTCGGGATCGCATTAATGATGCATACACATCCACATACCCCTTGCATTGGAGACATAGCTGCACCTAGATTTGGAATTGCCTTCATTTCGAAAAAAAGACTTTCTGCCAGCCAAGAGATGCGCCGTTCATTCTTTCTTCTGCATTCATGTTAGGGTCATGCAGTCCTGGGGTTCAATGTGTTAGTGGTGTTGGTTTTGCAAAATATGATTTAATTTTTATTATTATTGTTTATCGTGTTATTTAGGACACGTGCATAGCATAGCGAGGAAATGGAAGCACTGTCTATTGATTATTATTGAGAGTGCCATCGTAAATATAGAATCTACTGTACCGTAATAGAGTACTAGCCAGCCCCGGACTTTAGCAACGCAAGGGCCAGTCTCAGGCCGCAAAGGCACGGCGCCAGGCATCAGCAGGTGAAACACGCTAGGCCGCGCGTGGAGATCACGTGCAGTCAGGGAAAAGTGGCCGAGAAAAGAAGGCACGAGATGGTGATGCACTTCTCGGTCTTCTCCCCCATTTCCCTTTGCTGCTCACGATCTCTCCAGTCTCGCGCTCTCAGATTACCTCGCGTCCCTGCATCTGCTGTGCGCTTACAATCAGCGAATAGTCAGGGTTGAGAACAGCAAGACCTGACCGAGCTCCACCTGCCGACTGCGCCTCGTTGATCCTTAACGCTTCAGTTTGTCTTCACACTGTAAGTAATCTCCGGCACGCCTTTCCTCGCTCTTACCCTCATTACTACTACTACTTGTGCCTACTATTATTGTGTTCTCCGTACTCTGTACTCTCACTGTACGCTCAGCTATCGCTCGCTCTCTTCCTCCCTCTCCCTCTTCCTCTCTCCCTCTCTCCTTCTTCCCCCCTCCACAGTCCAGTCCAGGTCCTACCTACTTCTCCTGCAGGTAGTGTCATGCACTCCGATTGATGCCCGCCCCCTCTTTCAATTTTCTTCCTCTCGTGTCCCCCCTCCCATTTGCCCTCGCTCTCCTCAGTAGTGCCGCCTTTGGTAATCCACTTTCTCTGACACTCACTGGCGCCTTGTTACTTTTTAATTTTATCTAATTAATTTTGCTATTATTAGAATTCCCCGTCTACCCTCGACCACCTCGAACTCTTGTCTCTCTCTCTCATTCTCAAGCGCGCCATCCTCTCCATCATTGGCCACCCACACGACTTGTCTAATCTCACTCCGTCGCCTATTCGGAATTTTCCTGGGCTTTCGTCTTTTCTTTTCTTCAGCTGGATTGTTCCTCATTCATTGGTGACAATTCTCTTGTCTCGAACCCTCCCGAAGCGTATAAAGAGTTCGGTCTGCGATCGATAGCCGCACCTTACCTATCACCTATCATTGATCGTCGTCGCTTCGTGCAGCAACTTGCCGACAAAACCCCATTGAGGCCACCTCGCTTCTCTGGTGTTTAGTTATTTCCATTCGGATCTTCGCTGGCCGCGGTTGTCCCTGGATTCGGGCTGTCTTTCCCGTAGCGCAGCCTCCAACAACACATCCCGACCACCCCGTTCGGATCGTGCTTTGCAACGCAAGGAGTCCGCCAGGTGCCCCTCCAAGCTTGGGTCGCATGCTTGCATCGCCGTCGTTTCACACTGCTCATCCCTTCAACCTGTGGAGGAAATTCGCTTGGCTGGATATTGCTTGTTGACATCAAGCTTTCGTTCCCCCGGTTTCACGTCTAGTAGAGTTTGTGGGTGGATGGCCTCGCAATGCCAAACTAGGACGTAGCACCTTTTTCTTTTCTTTTCTTTCGATCGTGAACCTCCCTGGTTGTCAGCTTTTGACATTGCCTGACTCAAAAACTTCCTGACACGCGACCGTCGCATTTCTCTCTGTGTCTCTTTCTCTTCATCGCTCTCACACCTTGTGGGAAACACATCCATGACGACCACCATGACTTCGACCACCTCGCCACTCTCGTCGCAGCAGGATCCCTCGCAGAGTCTCGCGGTTTTGCCTCCTATAATTACCGATGGCACCGTGAAGCCGCAGCCGCCAATTCGACAGCGATCGTCGTATGCGAAAGACCGGCTTTCCACGCAATCCAACATCTCTCTCGCCTCCCAAAACCGATCGCGTCCGGGATCGCACGTCTTCCCCATCTTCCACTCCAGCTTGTCGTACTCTCTCGTTCGAGATTTCGCATACCCTTCGATTCATCCGCTCCACTATGGCCCGTTGCCACCACGTGCTTCGGGAATGTCCTCTCCGGTGAGCGAGCACCGACGTCTGTCAGACCCCCCGGCTCCATGGGACACGTCGCGTGGGCAGTGGTCAACCGGACCGTGGAGTACCGACCATAGCTATGGGCATCAGCAACTCCCTGCGATGTCGTTCGGCGACGGGCCTCCATACAGCGAAGATGAAGACTTGCACAGTCCGGTATTCACAACGCCTCGACACCGAAAGAACAAGTCGACCGGGACGGATTTGAACGGACATAAGAGCAGGAATCCCAGTGATCAGGGCGACATGGACTATTTCGGCGGCCCGGAACGCGGAACGTTTGTCAGTATGAACGCAGATGGCAGTGAGACGTACTATGTGAATGATGAGGATGCAGCCGACGATGGGCCCGGGGGTGAATATGTTACGTACCCGGCCTCCGAGAGCCGATATTCGCACGCCGGTGCCTACGAAGGATACCAGGGCTATGAGCCGGACTCATTCGAGTCGGAGGAGGATTATGGAGGAAACCGATACTCTCGAGATTTCCAATTCGCCGTAGGATGCCCCGATGAGGAGATGCATGGGAAGGCCGTTGCCCTGTTCGATTTCACTCGGGAGCACGAAAATGAACTTCCCCTCACGGAGGGCCAGGTGATCTTTGTCTCATACCGACACGGCCAGGGCTGGTTGGTTGCCGAGGATCCCAAAACCGGCGAGAGCGGCCTGGTGCCGGAGGAATTTGTCCGGTTACTTCGAGACATCGAGGGAGGGTTGACGTCGCTGAACGGCGAGTCCGACGCCGAATTGACTGGAAACCACACGCAACACGTCAGCCCGGATTCAACCGACTCCCAGCAAGCCATCACACCCACTCAAGACGACCAGAATGCACTGAGGTCCGGCAACGAGTCGACACAAGTCACCACCAATGGGCAGGCAAAACAGGATGGTCAGACGGTCACCACGGGTGGGGACTCGGATTCGAACACATCACATACCCTCCAATCCCCATCCCAACAAGGGGCCTCGGCAACGGAACCAGTCTCAGAGAAGAAATCAGAGGATGTCACGAAGTCATGAGATTGTCCTGGTCCTTTTTTATGTCCTCAATGCCACCTCTTGCAACATCTCAAATCGTTCTATTACTCTTTAACTTATCAGTCTCATTACCATCTTCACCATCATGATCGTCTTAGCATCTTCACCCCCGCCTCAACCTCTACTATTTCTTTATTCCCGTCCCCAGGTCGGAACGGGATTTGAACTTCGCACTTGAATTTTGATTGGAATATACCTGAAAATGGTGAAATGAATATCATCTGATATCCACCATTTCATATGATTGGGAAGGAGAATCGTCCTGCTTTTTCTTTCTTTTCTTTCTCGCATGCATATCACATCACACATACATTCACACATTACTTACATATCATCATCCATGATACGATAGAGTTTCATGATTCTGATCCTCCAGTCCCGTCCTGATGACAGTTCTATCTTATCTTTGCCTTGATTCCCCTAGCATGGGAGTGCTAGCGACTCGCTCAAGCTTAGGCATCGGAATAGTAAAGGAGAAAAATCGGATGGGGGTGGGGTGACCAGTCACTCAACACGGTTACCTATGACCGGTTCGTCTGATTTGACCTGACTTAACCTGACCTTATTATATTATGAAATATGTGGTGGGAATTTCTTCCCCCTGTAAATACGCTGTTTCTTGCCTCTCCTGAAATGCTTGTCATTTTTTTCTGCTCTGCCATGCCATTTGGTTTTGTTTTTGAAGTTCTTTCGCATGTCTCTTTCTTTTTCGTTTTATGTACTCTTCAGCGTCGGCGTCGCATTTTTTTATTTTCTTTTTCTTCGTTGCATTACTTAGATGATTGATCTTCGATCTATATTATATTATATTTCTATTATCTATATACCTTTCATCTTAGATCTCTGGTCGTGGTGTATGGTTTAAAGGCTTGTCTTTTCTTTTCACTTGTTCCTATCATTCTATCTACATACATATCCACATACCCTACATGAAGTAGGAAAGTCATGAATGGTATAGCTAAATGATCAAACCCATTGTCCATTTACAGGTCGGCGTTCACACCTGTCTAGATACCTACATACTTACAGATCTACAACTAAAGCAAACGACATCCCTATATTAGGTAGTGGATAGGTAGATATGTATGTATGTACCGTAGCTCAGCAAAACACCTCAACCAACCAGAATCTAGAAACTAAAACAAGGTCCATTCAGATAAAACAGAAAGTGGTATTTCGTATTCGTTATTCGGGCTTTTGTTTTGGTGGCTCTGTTTGCTTTTCTGCCTGTTTGCTTTTTGCCTGCGTGCTAAATAGGTACATTCATACCTATTGTATGTATGTTTGTCGTTTATTTGTATTGGTTTCTTTCTTTTTATCCCATCCTACCAACCATACCATACCTAGCCTATAGTTCTTGCCGTCCTGTCCTCTGGTCCTATTCATAGATGCTTGTTTTTCTTAATAGAAAGAAAAGAGGGGAAAGGAAGAGCAAATGAAATATAGGAAGGAAAGATGGGATGACGTGACATGGAATTGGCAAGTGAGAACGAGTCCATATGTTAATTTTGATGTTCCCAAGAGATCAAGCCAGAACGAGAAAAGGCAAAAGCAAAGAGAAAGAGAAAGGCAAATATCAAGGCAGAGAAAAAGAGAGAGAGAGAGAGAGAGAGAGAGAGAGAGAGATGAGAAAGGAGATGAAGAAGATGAAAGTGGGAGTATAAAGCATCAGACGAGATTTGAAATTGAAGCAGATGGAGTAGAAGTAGAATAAAAAGGCATAAAGATACAACAA